CTCAAACCAAAATGGCGGCTGAGTTTGACAACAGAACAAGAAATTCTTGACTGAATCAGCTGGGAAATTAGCAAAGGCAGCTAATGTGGCACCATCCTCAGTCTGCTCCACATCTACAAAGTAGTCATAAATGCATCTCTTCTGTTACATTCTTCATTAGGGCAAGACAACCAAGTGGTTGTTGCACCGCCATTTTGGAAGAGTGTGCAAGCGCTTCGAGCTGTCCCTGGGTGAGCAATTACTTTGCTTAATCTAAGCGATTCATGGCTTGCAACGCGCCCCAGAGAGACATTTAATACTGGCATTGCATTAATTTGCCGTCTTTCTTCTAGTGTGAGTTCCATTGTGAATTATCAACACAGAAATCAATTGCTTTTTTCAAGAGTAATTACAAATCTTGAAACTTGGTTTTTACCATGAGGGGAACATGTATTGCATGTGCTGTCGCCCTATAATCATGTTTCTTTGTTTGTTGTTTAACGCCACACTCAGCAATATTCCAGCTATATGATGGCGGTCTGTAAATAATCGAGTCTGGACCAGACAATCCAGTGATTGACATTATGAGCATCGATCTACGCATTTGGGACCGATGACATGCATCAACCAAGTCAGTGAGTCTGACCACCCTATCCCATTAGTCGCCTCTTACGACAAGCATAGTTGCCTTTTACGGCAAGCATGGGTTGCTGAAGACCTATTCTACCCGTATCTTCACGGGTCCCTATAATCATGACAGTTGCAAGCCCAAACATAATATATGCTCCGAAATAGTCAGAATTGTCCTTCAAAAAGAAATCATAAGGGAAAAATATCAAAGTGCAAATGAGGGCAACCAATATGGGTTTTGCGATACTCATTTCCATGTGTATATATCTTCCATTCTGGATAAATCTGAAGATCACTTGGTCAAAAACTACAGCAGCATACATAACCTTTTTAATCGCTTTATTCAGTTTGTGAAAGCAATGACCTTTTTATAAATATTTTTGTTTACCTTTTCCATAATATTTTACATTCCATTGTCATCCATAGAGTGTGCACGCATTAGATGTTACATTTAGCATAGTTATTATAGCGAGATGTGGTTTATTCTATAAAGACCAAGGCCAAATTAAAAGATAATTACAAAAATACATTATGGGCATGTTTGTGGCATGGACAGATCGAATGTCATAATTATAAAGGGTTTCTAAATAATACCTGTATATTAGACCAGCAGGCAGGGAAACTTGCATAATTACGATTTGAACATGTAGTACATTTTCTAATTTCATGTATCAAGTATTTCTTTTTGAATTATTAAAAATAATTTTTTGGGCTTTTTTTTCTATTAGATGTGTAAAGAATATATTTTGTTAATAATTACTGTTTGAGTGAATTGTTATTTTTCTTTCTAAGTCCAAGCAATATGTGTTCATTACTAAAATTAACTCTGGTGGTATAGTTTCCATGCCAATCTGAAAGTTTCATCCATATATATATATCAGCAGCATAGTGACAATTACATAATACATGAGTAATTGTTTCAGATGGTATGTTACATAATGAACAAACTGGCGATTAAACATATCCAATTTTAAATAAATAACAGTTAGTACTTAAAACATTAAGTATAACATTTAACTGAACCCATCTTAATTCAGTACTTTGTGTACACCTTTTTGCCATAAGGTAAAAGTTTATCCCTGTATACTGTTTCAAAACAATCTTCACATTTACTGTAACACTTTCGTTTTATGAATTCAGGGTTTAATAGGGCTTTATAAAATACATTGCCTCCCTTTTTATTGTTATTTTTTATATATTATTTGGCACCATAGGCCTTTGGCAAACTGTAACAATGTTTTTTATTTTTATTCTGTAAAAAACAGGCTATTGGTATTTTACTACTTGAAAGGTAAAATATTTTGTCTTCAAACAGTACTTTTGTTCTTATTCGTCAAAATTACATAATTTCCCTGTGTCATGAATGAAGTCATGTATACATGGTATACCCTTTTGGTGCCACTGTAGACATAAATAGACTTACCATCAACTTTGTTTTCATTATCATGCCAGACAGATTTGCTCATATCGTCAACAGATGGTTTAACATCATCACAACAATTCAAGTTTACTGACCACCATAACAAAACTTCCTTCCAAAAGTTATGATTAATGTTTGGAATAATATTTTGTTAATATAAGCAGTATCTGCCAGGTAAATTACATTTGCATTGACTACAGTTTCAAAAAAGAAAGCTGCCCATGTCAGTGTTCCCGCTGGCGTTCGAAACAGCCAGTCCACCAGGACTGGCAACTTTAAAATTTACCAGGCCCACCTAATCTTTGTCAGTCCCAACTTTCAACAAATAAATAAAAAAAAGAATAAATTGCCTGGTTTTTATTCTTTCAACATCATGTTCAATGCATTGACGTCATCTCTGAAGTTACTTAGCTAGATCTACATGTCATTCACGCAAAGTTCAGTCACAATTTTCTCTTTTGTTTTTGAGTATTTCGAGACTAAGTCACTACAAGTATATATACTCCTCAAAAGAAGTTAAGGATCACCTGATTCTTTCATATTACAATAGTTAATCTCTCATGCCATGACAGATTAACATTACCAATATGAAAGAATCGGGTGATCCTTAACTTCTTTTGAGTAGTATATTTAACCTCAAAGCAAAGCAAAATGTTATTTCCTTACACTAAAAATAGACAAGAGAGAAAATATTTCATATTTATAAGGTACTTTATTTGCCGGTCCACAGGGACTGGCAGTCACATGAATTACCGGTCCAAGCCTAATTTCACCGGTAAAAAAACTGGTAATTACTGGTAAACGGGAACTCTGCCATGTGGAATAATCATATATCAGTCTCTTAATCCTAATTCTAGTTGTAGAAAATATTTTGAGTGTTTTTCACCTTGTTCTAGCCATTTAGCTTTTGATCTAATAAAAGAGCCTTCAGTTCTTATTCTATGCAGATTTAGCTGTCTTTAGTTGTTCCATTAATTCTCCCTTCACTCTCTCTGTATTTGTTCTCCTAACTTATTTTCAAGCCGATTTAAGTCTTGTTCTATTCAGGATTCCAAAGGTACATTCTCTTTTTTACGTGTTGATGAGAATAATATTGACCTTCCCCTAATATTTAAAAATATCATTTCCCAAAGTAGTTGGTCATCAATACTCTCTCATTTTTAGCTATCTTGTCTTCATATTGATCAAGAGTATCATTAATTGTCTTTTTCACCCTTGCAACAAAGTGTTTAGCTTTCAAAAGTGAGTTATTAAATTTCCAAAAGCCTTTTCCCCTTTGTATATCTGATAGTGAAACAGCAAGAGATATGATAGAATTGTCAGAATTTATACTGGGGATTATATTGCTGTCTTCAACTTAATGTGGAACATTGTGCAAGATTAAAAAATAATCGAAATGAGCTGGCTTTAGTGGTGTGGGTTGTCGCCAGGTGAATCTCCTTGTAGATGGATATAATTCTCGCCATGGGTGTTAAGATCGGTTGTCTCCAAAGGTTCTTTCTTTGCTTTGGGGTTATTATTATGTTAATAATTACAAGAATTCCGTTTGATCAATTAGTAAATTCCAATCTCCACATGTAATGATTCTTTCTCCTGTTTATTCTTCAGTTAGTTCATTTATTTTTTAATACATTCTGGTTTGTCGGAATTTGGTCCATATAAGGTAATTATATAGAAACGGGCTCCGTACGTCCGTCACATTTCGTTTCCGGAGCATAATTCATAAACCGTTCAATATTTTTTCATCAAACTTTGCAGGTCTGTCAGGTACATATGCTGAACTGGTGCCTTTTGCTATTTAGAAATTTTAGAAATTTTTATTTTTTACGCTTCCATGGCAACAAGATGGACTTAGGTTCTGTGAGGGTAGGGTTCGTTTCCGGAGCATAACTCATAAACCGTTCAATATTTTTTCATCAAACTTTGCAGATCTGTCAGGTACATGCTGAACTGGTGCCTTTTGCTATTTAGAAATTTTCTAAATTTTTATTTTTTACGTTTCCATGGCAACAAGATGGACTGAGGTTCCAAACTCATCTTTTTTTTACAATTTCCGTGACAAGTTCCACCTCGGTTAAAAAAGGTTAGGGTTTGTTTAGATTTAATTATGTCATAAATTTCTGCAACTGGGGCGGGGGATATAACCATGTTAGTGGCAAACTCTTGTTATTATTATATTTTTCTTTTATTGTTTTTATAAAGACGTACCTGTAACATAATATGCGTTTCCGCCCAGGGTAGCAGAAAGCCCATCACGTACAGCACAACTTATCAGTACATCTTAGTTTTTTTTACAGAAAATAACATACTTCTCACTCACACATTCACTCTAGTAATACAAAAATAGTGCATATATAAAGTATGCATAAACTATTAAAGTTTATATATCATAATTATGATATTGCAGTGTAGGAAAGTACATGGTCTTAAACATTAAAGTCTTAAGTATAAAACTAAAATTAAAATGAAAGCTGCTCCTCATTTTTGAAAAGTTGATGATACAGCATCCAAGCACCATAGAATTTCTGTTGATTACCGGTCTTGAAAGCAATATCTTTTTCAATGTTGTATCATGAAAAAAGCTTCCTTTTTATAAACATGAAAATAAGGTTTTGTATTTTGGAATTTGCATCTATAAATATAGATACGAGTTAATTATTATATATATATTTTATCAATACTAACATCTAATGCCACAAAGTTACCTTCATCTTTATCTGTAATTGAATTAACTTGTTATTAAATACGCATTGACCTTGATGGGATATATAGGTCACTTATGTCTTGAGTTTTGTATGAACATGTTTTTTTGAGGGTATGTTCTTGGGAGTAACCCCTCACATTTGACTTTAGTGAAGCTATCTCAAACATGTTTCTTTACAAATTCAAAATGATTGATATTGCTTGAAAGGGTGAGATAATGCAGTAATTTGAAGAAACTGACAAGTATCTTTCTCATTCTCGCTGACAGTTTAAAACTCAAATTGAGCGGGTCAATCCAGTCAAGGGAGACAACTCTGAAGCAGTCCGATGGGAAGTGACCTACAGTGATGTAGTTCATAGAGAGAACCGGACAACGGAGTTGTTTGATGCTGTCATGGTCTGTATTGGGTAAGAAAGTTGTATTAGTATTTTCTTAAGCAGATATATTTCAGTGATCAATCTTTGCAACATTATTGGAAAAAACAATGCCATTGCCTTTTATCAGGTGTTATTATTGGTATCTTCACACGTCGTCTTCTGAAACCCCCAGATTGATGAAGTGGACATTTGTCATGCTTCTTCCCAAATATTGACACTGACATTTCTGATGTAAGTTTGATGAATTTCTTAAAGGCAACCAGATTGTATTATATACATGTAGTTTGTAGTGAGGATAACATTATTCATTAGAAAATACTGTAACGGTTTCTCGTGCCTTGAACAAAAGGTGACGAAGGGTTTGTTTCTGTTTTGGAAATACTTGCAAACACTTTTCTAGTTATCTGCTTTTTTCAGAAAATCAATGAATCCACGAATGCCAGACCAGCCTGGCCAGCACCGGTTCGAGGGACAGATCATGCACAGCTGTTGTTACCGGGAACCGGAGCCCTTCAGGAACCAGGCGGTTGTCTGTCTTGGTGCACAGATGTCGGGGCTGGATCTAGCTGTCGAGATCAGCAGTGTTGCAGACAAGGTTGGTCAATAGTAAATCAATGAGGGAGGGAATGAATGTTATAGCACGCTGAAATTGGCAACATTCCAGCTAAAGTTCGGGTCAGACAAGGTAGTTGTTGATCTCGTTAGCAATAAGCAACGTTGGGTACAAAGATCCACGCTCAGTACAAAGTGAGTGAGTGAGTGAGTTTGGTTTTACGCCGCTTTTAGCAATATTCCAGCAATATCACGGCAGGGGACACCAGAAATTGGCTTCACACATGTTGGGATTCGGCGTGACGAGCGAACGCTTTAACCACTAGGCTACCCGACCTCCCCCTCAGTCCAAAGACAAAGACATGACCTGGGTCTAATTATACTATTAAATTACACTTATATAGCGACGTGCATGTGTGGTTGCTTGTACTAGTCCGGACTAATGCTGGTTTGATAGTGCTAGCCGTCACCGAGATGCCATGCCACTGTTCAACATGGATAACCCACTCAGACACTCTTTACTTCACAATCTTTTAATGTCTTTTGGCCACTCTCCAGGCAGATGCTCTATACACTAGACCAGGAGGCAGTACTTATTGCATGGTTTCAACAGATATTCTGTATGTCATTGGAATTTCAGGTCATATATATTTTTGTCCTTTCTCAGTTTCTATGATCATTATGAAAAATGAATTACTTTTGAATTACACTGACTAGTCAAAGTGTGAAGTTTAAAGATCCATCTTTATACAATGACAGCATTGATGTTTTGATTTTAATCTTGTAGGTTTTCCTCAGCCATAACAAAGACAAACTGACAACCGTCCTTCCTGCTAATGTCATTGAAGTTCAAGGAATCAAGTCCTTCAATTCACACTCGGTTGTTTTCTTGGATGGTCTGGAACAGCCAGTGGATTCTGTCATCTTCTGTACAGGATATGAAAATAGCTACCCCTTTCTCACAGACAACTGCCATGTCAACCTGCAGTCGGGCAGTAGAGTTACCCCCCTTTACAAACACCTAATACACACTGAGTTCCCGTCCTTGGCCTTTGTAGGACTTTGTAAGATGGTGAGTCCCTTCCAGATCTTCCACCTACAGACTCTTGTAGTGCTGGCTGTGCTGGAGGGGAAGCTGACACTGCCTTCAAAGGAAGAAATGGATCAAGACACCGAAAAGGATTTTCGGGAGCACTTAGCCAGTGGTTTGCCTGTTCATGATGCACATAGTTTGGATGATCGCCAGTGGTCTTACAATGACAAGTTGGCTAAACTGGCAAACTGTCAACGTCTTCCAAGGGTGATTGAAAAGATCTGGAAGAAATATCAAGCTACGTATCATGAAAATACACTGACTTATAGAAACATGAACTTTACTAGAACCAGTGATGAGTCTTTTGATATGGTTTACCAAAATGACATCTCATCGAATCTTTGACAGTTTGCACTCTTCAGGAGAGGTGGTTTGGACTTTCCAGACTATCAAGATCATAATTATTTTTTTTAATGATAATGTTTTATATAAACAATATTTGGTGATGGAAGTCTTGTTTAAGTGTTCCAGACCAGAAACCTAACACTTATGTGACTGTTCACATCACCTTCCCCACCAATAAAACACTAACGTGACAGCCCTCCCCACCAGTAAAACACTAACGTGACTGCCCCCCCCACCAATAAAACACTAACGTGACTGCCCTCCCCACCAATAAAACACTAACGTGACTGCCCTCCCCACCAATAAAACACTAACGTGACAGCCCTCCCCACCAATAAAACACTAATGTGACTGCCTTCCCCACCAATAAAACACTAACGTGACTGCCCTCCCCACCAATAAAACACTAACGTGACTGCCCTCCCCACCAATAAAACACTAACGTGACAGCCCTCCCCACCAATAAAACACTAACTTGACTGCCCTCCCCACCAATAAAACACTAATGTGACTGTGCCTCCTACTCATCAAAAAATGATTTGTGCCCTCTCCACAAATGAAAAACCCTATTGAAACACTAATGTGATTGTGCTTTCCCCACCAATGAAAAACTACTGCGACCGCACCCTCCCGCACATCAGACACTGCCCTCCCACATGAAATATGCCCACATAACCAACAAGCAAAGGATAGTTGAAACATTTTGACTTGTGAGCAGAACCTCCTGCCCATGAGATTACAATCTCATTAAAATCAGATCTAAGTTCTCGCTGCCGCTAAACAAAGATCTGAGGACATCCCTTTGCAGGTCACATCAGAACGACCTTTTGCGAACTTTGACCGACCACTGAAATGAACAAGAAGTCGACATCACCCAATTAGAAAGCAGCTTTCTCGAGCTTAAAGGCACTCGTTTCAACCTGGCGACCTCCATTTCAGTCTATGCTTGAAAAATATGTTGACACAGTTCTCAATTAAGATTTTGATGACTTAACAAACGAACATTCCGGAATGTCTAATATATGTTAGAGATTGCATGGCAGTGCTTCCCATGTACTGTGCAACGTCTCCTCCGTTCAAATGTTTTTCCCACGGAAACGTGAGAGATAGACGATAGTTTTGACGGAATCAGTCGTTCTGGCCGAAACTGTCGTTCGGAATACCCTGTGTTAACGTTTTTGAGGTTGCATGATTAGATAACACATTCCAACTGTCACTTTCATGATCTGGTAAGCGATGCTTTGATTGGTCGGATGAAAGGTTGTTCTGATGTTGCCCGTAATGGGATGACCTCATATCTTTGTTTAGCGATAGCGAGAACTAAGATCCGATTTTAATGAGATTGCACATCATAAAGACACGCCCACTATGTGTGCAGCAGGAGAGGAGTCATTCTGTTGTCGATACTGAAAGTCTTTTAGACTGCAAGGAGTAGCCCTTGTCACCCACTTGGCAAGAGCCAGATGGAGTGGCCCATGTCACTAAACAGTGAACAAAACCTGTGAAGTGAAGATGGATCTTAATAGTACTTAACTTTTCTTTATTCATATATTTGGAAAACAATTTTCATATATCTGTATGTACACATGGAAAATTGTGAGGCACCATTCTTTGTCATATCCTGAACTTTGATGTTTCTGTTGAAAATATCTATTTACTGGTATGGCATTAATCTCATTTTGATAACTGGACAGTTGTAGTCGAAAGGACACTTCTAAAATTTCTGTCTCTTTCAAATTGCTGTACAGGTCTATTAAATGGGGTATCAACATTGCCACACACTTCAGTACTGACTTGCTGTGTGTGTATTAGTTCGCTGGAGTGAGAAGAAACATCAGACCTGAATTTGTTTGTTCACTCAGCCGGGTTAAAGCGACGATATTTAATCAGGAGCATGCAGACCTTTTCCGAAGTATGCACAAATCTTTATTCAAGAATAAAGTGTTTAAATGATCACCACAGATTTGTATTTATTCACGCTAGGGAATTCCCAGATTGTTCCTAGGGAATGTGGAAGTACTACCCGGGTACCCGACCCGACCCTACCTGCTTTAGGTGGTGTTTGTTCTTTAATGCCACACTTAGCAATATTGCATCTATATGATGGCGGTCTGTAAATAATCGAGTCTGAACAAGACCATCCAGTGATTGATATCATCAGCATCTATAAATGAGATACAATGACATGAACCAACCAAGTTGGAGAGCCTGACCACCCGATCCCGTTAGTCACCTCTTACGACGCTATGTACGGCAAGCATAGGTTGCTGAGGACCTGTTCTACCCTGGATCTTCACAGGTGACCTGCTGTTGGTCTCAGAGTGGAGCCCTGGCAAAAGTATTAAGATACAGATAAATCGATCTCAATCATCTGGTCATGCATACACTGAAGCTTTATCTTGATTCAGACATATAAAAGGAATGCGTGCATACTCAGAAAGTAATGCGAACATTGGCGACTTGCAGTGTAACCATGGATAGAGTACCTGAATTACACGTCCCAGCCCAACTGTCTGTGTTTCTCTCTTCTAGGACAATTTTGTGAAAAACATACGCTACCGAAAAAATGGCGTTTGTAAGAGTGACTGACCTCTCGTTCAATCAAACAGCAGTATATTGTGTGAAATTCACATTTATGAATTATTTCACAGCTGTAACCTGTGTACATAGTACAATATCGCTATGTAAAATTTGGATTTGTTCTAATTTAAAAATTTAATCTTCCTTTATCCCAATTAAACACCCTTTTGGGATTTTGTTTTTATTGATGTGCTTCTACACATCTCCATATTATACATTATTTTGACCGCAACTACTTCAGGTTCATATTCTCAAAAATTAAAGTCAGTAAGTTCTAATAGGAGCAATGAGCAGGATGAGTGAGTATGGTTTTATGCTGCTTTTAGCAATATTCCAGCAATATCACAGCGGGGGACACCAGAAATGGGCTTCACACATTGTACCCATGTGGTGAATTGAACTCAGGTCTTTGGCGTGATGAGTGAACGCTTAAACCACTAGGCTACCCCACCTCCTCCAAAGGGGCAATGACCTTTGATAGTTGATCCATAGCTAAGGCACACAAGTAGTCATTTGGTGATTGCTGAAATTGATCTGCTGATGTTTTTGGGGTTAAAGAATATTCAAACATCTCACGGAAAAATCCACACCTGATCAAGATTCACAGGTACCGGTAGTTGATTAAGATTGGAGGACATTGGCTTGAAAACCCTCCGATTGACCTTGACACAAAATAACAACACAGAGTAATCTTTCTTGGTATCCTTCATGTAACAATCACGGAAGAGAATCTGCGAACAAAATTTCCACGACATTTTAGTGACCACAAGTGTGTTCAAATCTGATGGCTTCCCCAATAAACACCCCCAAATAATGGACCACGCTCCATAGCAAAGATGTTTCAGCTGAAAAGGAAAATATCCATTCTCATCCCTGAACAATAAATAAGCATGACAAAATAACAAACTGATATTTTACTATTCTTTGCAACACTGACACATTGACTGGGAAACTTGCTGTGTCAGCAAATCTTGACTCTGTGTCCATCACACTGATGCTTTATGCTCATTATCATTATCATCCCCACAACCCTGCGGGACTCCTGGGTTAGAGTATGTCCTCAGCAACCTGTGCAGGTCATAACCTACCGTATTCGACATAATAAGCGCCCCGCTCTAAAAAGCACCCACAGCGATATTTGCTAATATATTGGCAAGTGAACAATCCCAATTAGCACAAATTCCAATTGATCAATGTAAACAAGACTTATTTATTCACGTATAATACGTACTCGTGCGTTATGTGCACCCTTAATTATGGGCAATTAAATTCTGGAAAAATATATCTGTCATATATAAACATTTTAGGCTGTCAGCATAAACCATAAAATTCATCTTTTAACTCTGTTTTTTCCACAAAAATAATATTCTAATATGAGCCCCCTATTTTGAATTTTGAGAGCGCCCTGGGTGCTTATTACATTGAATACGGTATAATTGGTTTATTGCGTGTCAACTGTACCCTGACAAAGTGGATCATTGCTCACAATATCTGGTCCAGTCTCAGTTATGTTTCATACAGCTAGAATACTGCTGTGTCAGTGTTTAAAAACATAACCAAACAAATTATCCCCACAAATTCATTAAATTGAACTTAAATATTACTGCAAAATGCCTCTTCACGATCAGTTGGAGAGAGTGAGTGGATTTGGTTTAAAGCAGCTTTAAACAGTAAGAACAAGGCATGAAAACCGTGAAGTCTTTGATGTTTATCACTTGGTGAAGACCACAAGCTTGGGTATGGTGGACATAACTACAAATGACCAGGGCAAATCTGGGATTCAAACTCATGATAACATGTTTCTGGCACACCAGGTTTCCTTTCACAACTGGGCCTGGATCATTCCTGTTCAGTTGGACACTGAAACCAACCAATCCGTCGACAACACCACTACATTGTATTCACAGGAAGTGTCTGATACATTCTGGATTATATATTCTACAAATCATCCGTAGCCACAATGAAGCACTATCCAACAGCACTAACCAGCAAGGGCAAACTTCCCTTCTTATTCTATGTATCAGTGAATGGCCTTTTGTGTCGGCGACTAGACCTGTAGGTAAATCACAACAATCTGCTAATTTTACAGCTTTATCACACTGGTCTACCAATGATGCAGTTCTATCACACTGGACTACCAATGATACAGTTCTATCACACTGGTCTACCAATGATACAGTTCTATCACACTGGACTACCACTGATACAGTTCTATCACACTGGTCTACCAATGATACAGTTCTATCACACTGGACTACCACTGATACAGCTGTATCACGCTGATCTACCAAATATAGTTACCGTATTTCGCATTGGTCTACCAATGTTACAGTCATATCACACTGGTCTACCAATCATACAGTTATATCACACTGGTCTACCAATCATACAGTTATATCACACTGGTCGACCAATCATACAGTTATATCACACTGGTCGACCAATCACACAAAGTTTATCATATGACAGCAATACCATAATGGTAAGTTAGTCTTTCACCAGAACTGGAGAAGACAAGCATTGGATGCAGCACTAGTACTGATGAATGACCTTGGGTAGGATGACATATCTGTTCAGCCTCTACTGATGACAGCAAGTCTTTTCTCACAGGAGGCCACCAGACACTAGCGTGAACTGATACTTGTAGGACGCAACCTCGCTTATCACCCATTTCCATCAAATACAATAACAAGCACTGTGTCCGGTTGTACCCAGATCAATGGGGCTTGCATAATGATCACAATAATGTCGTTGATTAGCACCATGTTTGACCATTTCCTTTTAGGACATCCTCGGGGTATACAACACTATGTTGGTGATGAGAACAGTCTGACAGGCACCCTCCACGTAGGCATCCTCGGGGTATACAACGCTATGTTGGTGATGAGAACAGTCTGACAGGCGCCCTCCACGTAGGCATCCTCGAGATATACAACGCTATGTTGGTGATGAGAACAGTCTAACAGGCACCCTCCACGTAGGCATCCTCGAGATATACAACGCTATGTTGGTGATGAGAACAGTCTGACAGGCACCCTCCACGTAGGCATCCTCGAGATATACAACGCTATGTTGGTGATGAGAACAGTCTGACAGGCACCCTCCACGTAGGCATCCTCGGGATATACAACGCTATGTTGGTGATGAGAACAGTCTGACAGGCACCCTCCACGTGGGCATCCTCGGGATATACAACGCTATGTTGGTGATGAGAACAGTCTGACAGGCACCCTCCACGTGGGCATCCTCGGGATATACAACGCTATGTTGGTGATGAGAACAGTCTGACAGGCACCCTCCACGTAGGCATCCTCGAGATATACAACGCTATGTTGGTGATGAGAACAGTCTGACAGGCACCCTCCACGTAGGCATCCTCGAGATATACAACGCTATGTTGGTGATGAGAACAGTCTGACAGGCACCCTCCACGTGGGCTTCCTTGTTGTCTCTGTCCTCACCGTCTCCCTCCAGGATTCAGACACGAATGTCTCACTGCACTTGTTTAAAGTCACATTCTGAAGCCTGTCCTCAGAATAGCTTCCAGAATCAACAATCCCCGGTTTGGCACTGGAGTCGTCGCACACATCTGCAGTCTCTCCTTCCATACCGTCTGTGTCACCACCGCCGGGGTTTGTGTCGGTGTCACAGGTGTCACCGGTGCTGCCGTCCTTCAGGTGGATAGGAAACAGGTCTCCCCAGTTGGAGGCTCGCACACAGCTGTACACGTCCCTGCAACACAACACCACATACGTGTTACCAAGGGTGAAACGCTATATATGGTCCTTGATTTGATGCATGATACAAACAGACCTGTATCATGATACATTATCATACAAAAAAGGTTGTGAGTGAGGGAGTGAGTGAGTGAGTGAGTGAAAACATTTGAAAAATAAAAGGACATTGGGATGTTGATCATTTACAGACTGCTGTCACATAGCTGGCATATTGCTTTAAACAACAAACAAACAAACAAACTTTACATCAACAATGATGTGAGGTGTGACCTTTAGGAAATGGGAGGGTGATACTCACTTTCCATGTTTCCTGGCGGTGAGGATATCGTGGCTGAGTTTGCCATCCGGCCAGCACAGGTGACAGTGGACATGCTTGGATGCCCGGACAACTTCCTGGATCACACGAGGCCATGCTGCATCTGTCAGAAACATATAGACGGTCAGCCTTGATATAAACTTATTACATGTGCTGAGCTCTCTTGAGCTACAGAAAACTCCTTGCCTCCAGCACCTAAAACGTTCCTCCACCAAAATTACAGCATTCATAAATTCTTTTAACCATTGCATATTTACTCATTTTGGTAATCGGGTATTACTTGTTTTCTTTCTGTATTCAATATATTTTCACTCCCTTGGGTCCAGTTGATTGGATATTTTTAAACCAACGAGTAGAATTTTTTTTAGATAATTCTCTTTAAAATGCTGTTTCAAGTGACCCAAAATTGGTATCTGTTCATGTGCTGCTCCTAGTTTGTAACAATTCACATTAACTCAACGGCAACGACATACGTGTCCAACAATAAGCAAGTCAAGCATTTTCCATGCATTGTTCACTGCAGTAGAGTTCACGTCAAGGGTGAGACCGGAAACTTGGGTACTCGGGTCAGGTGGGTACTGAGTAGGACCCGGATACCCACCGAACTACCTAGACCTGTGGTTAGTCACATGATTATATTGTTTAATGGCAAAAACTATCTGGAACTCTATGGTTACACTATAAGTGACAAATGTTCACATTTCTTTCGGACTTTACATGTTTGCATAAAGATAAAACTTCACTCAGCTTCAGTGTATGCATGACCAGACCGGTTTATACATGTATCTAAATTTATTTTGACAGGAGTACGGTCAAACGTTTCCCAATCGGACATTTTGTACCTATCTCTTGAGACCCGGGTAGGGTCGGGTAACAGGGGGATGGGTACCCGCATCGTAAATTTGGACTCGTGCCAGCCCTAGTTATAGCATTGGTTTTTTAAACTGTACACAAGCTTTGAATGAAGTAATGAACACACAATGACATTTTAGAAAGTGGTCAAATGTAACAAAAAATGTTATACTTGGGATAACACTTTCTAAGTAAAGTACAGATTCTAGTACCTTTTTGGGTTGAATCCCACCTGGGATTCGAACCCACGCTGCCTAATTGAGGCACCTAATCGCCAGCACACAAAGTCAGTGATCTTGCTTTAGCTCGCAATGCTGAATGCCAGGCAGGGAAGTACTTTCTTTGGTACTGTGAGAGGTAAGATTGAGGACTGTGAGAGGTAAGATTGGGGACTGTGAGAGGTAAGATTGGGGACTGTGAGAGGTAAGATTGGGGACTGTGAGAGGTAAGATTGAGGACTGTGAGAGGTAAGATTGAGGACTGTGAGTGGTACGACTAAGGACTGTGAGAGGTAAGATTGGGGACTGTGAGAGGTAAGATTGGGGACTGTGAGAGGTAAGATTGGGGACTGTGAGAGGTAAGATTGAGGACTGTGAGTGGTAAGATTGGGGACTGTGAGAGGTAAGATTGGGGACTGTGAGAGGTAAGATTGGGGACTGTGAGAGGTAAGATTGAGGACTGTGAGTGGTACGACTAAGGACTGTGAGAGGTAAGATTGGGGACTGTGATTGGTAAGATTGGAGACTGTGAGAGGTAAGATTGAGGACTGTGAGTGGTAAGATTGGGGACTGTGAGAGGTAAGATTGAGGACTGTGAGTGGTACGACTAAGGACTGTGAGAGGTAAGATTGGGGACTGTGAGAGGTAAGATTGGGGACTGTGAGAGGTAAGATTGAGGACTGTGAGTGGTACGACTAAGGACTGTGAGAGGTAAGATTGGGGACTGTGATTGGTAAGATTGGGGACTGTGAGTGGTACGACTAAGGACTGTGAGAGGTAAGATTGGGGACTGTGATTGGTAAGATTGAGGACTGTGAGTGGTACGACTAAGGACTGTGAGAGGTAAGATTGAGGACTGTGAGTGGTAAGATTGGGGACTGTGAGTGGTACGACTAAGGACTGTGAGAGGTAAGATTGGGGACTGTGAGAGGTAAGATTGGGGACTGTGAGAGGTAAGATTGGGGACTGTGAGAGGTAAGATTGAGGACTGTGAGTGGTAAGATTGGGGACTGTGAGAGGTAAGATTGGGGACTGTGAGAGGTAAGATTGGGGACTGTGAGAGGTAAGATTGAGGACTGTGAGTGGTACGACTAAGGACTGTGAGAGGTAAGATTGGGGACTGTGATTGGTAAGATTGGAGACTGTGAGAGGTAAGATTGAGGACTGTGAGAGGTAAGATTGGGGACTGTGAGAGGTAAGATTGAGGACTGTGAGTGGTACGACTAAGGACTGTGAGAGGTAAGATTGGGGACTGTGAGAGGTAAGATTGGGGACTGTGAGAGGTAAGATTGAGGACTGTGAGTGGTACGACTAAGGACTGTGAGAGGTAAGATTGGGGACTGTGATTGGTAAGATTGGGGACTGTGAGTGGTACGACTAAGGACTGTGAGAGGTAAGATTGGGGACTGTGATTGGTAAGATTGAGGACTGTGAGTGGTACGACTAAGGACTGTGAGAGGTAAGATTGAGGACTGTGAGTGGTAAGATTGGGGACTGTGAGTGGTACGACTAAGGACTGTGAGAGGTAAGATTGAGGACTGTGAGTGGTAAGATTGAGGACTGTGAGTGGTACGACTAAGGACTGTGAGAGGTAAGATTGGGGACTGTGATTGGTAAGATTGAGGACTGTGAGTGGTACGACTAAGGACTGTGAGAGGTAAGATTGAGGACTGTGAGTGGTAAGATTGGGGACTGTGAGTGGTAAGATTGAGGACTGTGAGTGGTAAGATTGGGGACTGTGAGTGGTAAGATTGGGGACTGTGAGAGGTAAGATTGAGGACTGTGAGTGGTAAGATTGGGGACTGTGAGTGGTAAGATTGGGGACTGTGAGTGGTAAGATTGAGGACTGTGAGAGGTAAGATTGGGGACTGTGAGTGGTACGACTAAGGACTGTGAGAGGTAAGATTGGGGACTGTGATTGGTAAGATTGAGGACTGTGAGTGGTACGACTAAGGACTGTGAGAGGTAAGATTGAGGACTGTGAGTGGTAAGATTGGGGACTGTGAGTGGTAAGATTGAGGACTGTGAGTGGTAAGATTGGGGACTGTGAGTGGTAAGATTGGGGACTGTGAGAGGTAAGATTGGAGACTGTGAGTGGTAAGATTGAGGACTGTGAGAGGTAAGATTGGGGACTGTGAGTGGTAAGATTGGGGACTGTGAGAGGTAAGATTGGGGACTGTGAGTGGTAAGATTGGGGACTGTGAGTGGTAAGATTGAGGACTGTGAGTGGTACGACTAAGGACTGTGAGAGGTAAGATTGAGGACTGTGAGTGGTAAGATTGGGGGCTGTGAGTGGTAAGATTGAGGACTGTGAGTGGTACGACTAAGGACTGTGAGAGGTAAGATTGAGGACTGTGAGTGGTAAGATTGGGGACTGTGAGTGGTAAGATTGAGGACTGTGAGAGGTAAGATTGGGGACTGTGAGAGGTAAGATTGGGGACTGTGAGTGGTAAGATTGAGGACTGTGAGTGGTAAGATTGGGGGCTGTGAGTGGCAAGATTGGGGACTGTGAGTGGTACGACTAAGGACTGTGAGAGGTAAGATTGAGGACTGTGAGTGGTAAGATTGGGGACTGTGAGTGGTAAGATTGAGGACTGTGAGAGGTAAGATTGAGGACTGTGAGAGGTAAGATTGGAGACTGTGAGTGGTAAGATTGGAGACTGTGAGAGGTAAGATTGGGGACTGTGAGAGGTAAGATTGGAGACTGTGAGAGGTAAGATTGGGGACTGTGAGTGGTACGACTAAGGACTGTGAGAGGTAAGATTGGAGACAGTATGAGGTAAGATTGGGGACTGTGAGAGGTAAGATTGGAGACTGTGAGAGGTAAGATTGGAGACTGTGAGAGGTAAGATTGGAGACTGTGAGAGGTAAGATTGGAGACTGTGAGAGGTAAGATTGGGGACTGTGAGAGGTAAGATTGGAGACTGTGAGAGGTAAGATTGAGGACTGTGAGTGGTAAGATTGGGGACTGTGAGAGGTAAGATTGGGGACTGTGAGAGGTAAGATTGGGGACTGTGAGTGGTACGACTAAGGACTGTGAGTGGTAAGATTGGGGACTGTGAGAGGTAAGATTGGGGACTGTGAGAGGTAAGATTGGAGACTGTGAGTGGTAAGATTGGGGACTGTGATTGGTAAGATTGAGGACTGTGAGAGGTAAGATTGGAGACTGTGAGAAGTAAGATTGGGGACTGTGATTGGTAAGATTGAGGACTGTGAGAGGTAAGATTGGGGACTGTGATTGGTAAGATTGGAGACTGTGAGAAGTAAGATTGAGGACTGTGAGAGGTAAGATTGGGGACTGTGAGAAGTAAGATTGGGGACTGTGATTGGTAAGATTGGGGACTGTGAGAGGTAAGATTGGAGACTGTGAGTGGTAAGATTGGGGACTGTGAGAGGTAAGATTGGGGACTGTGAGAGGTAAGATTGGAGACTGTGAGTGGTAAGATTGGGGACTGTGAGAGGTAAGATTGGAGACTGTGAGTGGTAAGATTGAGGACTGTGAGAGGTAAGATTGGGGACTGTGAGAGGTAAGATTGGGGACTGTGATTGGTAAGATTGGGGACTGTGAGAGGTAAGATTGGAGACTGTGAGAGGTAAGATTGGGGACAGTATGACCAGGCTTACCGTGCTTCCTCTTGCCTTTCCTCAGGATCACATAGCTGTATCTTGACGTCTGCTTAGCTTCAGTACCCTGGAACACATTGGCTAGATGAGAACGACACTCCTTTACATCCTGGCAAAAGTGCGTCAGTGAGTGAGTTTAAACTTTAAAGATGCTTTGAACAGTATTTCTGTTTCATCACGTCATGTCAGCTTGATGTGAGAGGAAAACAATAACGATCATAGGTTTCTGGCACACCTAAGGGGTGTAACTCTGCACAGCGAACTGGGGCAGCTGAGTCGTCTGGGCCACACATGCCACCCTACTGTGATGGCATAGCTACTTACTTGTGGTGACATGTCGAGGGGCTTGTAGGTGACACCAAACATGCAGGGGCTGTTTCTTTCTGCCAGTTTGGGACATGCCTTCTCGTGGGGACACTGAAACATTCAGTCATCCATCAAGTACATAACATTCACCCCAGGGTGGGTAAGTCGGTGGGTGTTATATTGTGACATAATATTCCAGCTATATCTAGGTGATCAGTAAGTAGCTAAGTCTGGACCAGGCATCCCAGAGGTGTAGGCTATGAGCAATGATGACACACACTGAGTCAGAATTGAGATTGTAACCAGTCAATTACTTGGCCCTCGGTCAAGGATGGTGAGGTGTGTGTAGTGTGTGTGTAGTGTGGTGTGGTGTGGTGTGGTGTGGTGTGGTGTGGTGTGGTGTGGTGTGGTGTGGTGTGGTGTGGTGTGGTGTGGTGTGGTGTGGTGTGGTGTGGTGTGGTGTGGTGTGGTGTGTGTGTGTGTGTGTGTGTTTGTTTCTGCTTGTACTAGTCCGGACTGATGCCAATTTATAGTGTTAGGCCACGGAGATACCATGCCACAGATTAACATGAATACCCCACTCAGACACATTTCACTGACTCCGAGCAGACCAGTCCTTGTTTATGTTTATGCCCCTTAATGCCGAGCGCCAGACAGGGCAACAACAAATACCATCTTTAAACGTCTTTTGGTATGAAGCGGACGGGGATCGACAGTATACTGCCTCCGAGCCGACCAGTCCTTGTTTTTGCCCCTAATGCCAAGCGCCAGACAGGGGAACGACCCCTGGACCTTCCGCTCTCTGGGCGGACGCTCTACCACTAGACCACGGAGGTGGTCTCTTAGTGAAGGGTGGGGTGCTGGGTACTATTTATTCTATCCCAGATTCCTCATCAACATTGCTCATGAAGGATGGAATACCAGCGCACTGTTCTACAACACATTCCCCACCTTAAGACTCCCCAGTTGTTCTATCCTGGAATCAAGCATTGGGATGGTGTGAATACTGTTGGGGCCAGGAATACAGGGAGATAACAATGTGGAAAAACCTGTAGAATTTTCCTATTCGGATTATTCTATAAGTAATACGTTACCACTGTTATACCGAGGCTGTTGTCCCCCACAACTGTTCTTATAGCAAAATCTTCCAAAGAGATCTCAATCACCTCATGCAGCACGTGCGTAGCCACCTAGCTGCCATGTGACACCCTTGACTCTTGCCTCTTGCGAGAGCAAGTGCTCGGGGGACAGACGGGCGGGCAGCAGCCCAGTGGTAACGTATTACTTATAGAATATTCCGAATAGGAAAATTCTACAAATTACATTAAGTAATACATTACCACTGTTATACCGAGGCTGACTACCACAGTAGGCGGTGTGGGGGCACCTACAACCCGAACCTGACTGCTCGTGTTCCTTCCGACCAGCGGAAGTAAACAACAAGGTGGAAGCACTCGATGCGAATGCTCCCAGCTTGGCGTTACCATATAGGGATACCAAAGCACTGTCAAGCGCATAACGCAATCGAGTTGTGAGTTATGTCAGCAGTCCGATTAGGGTTACACGATATGAACAGACGGTCACGCCCTTTTCTACGTTCATTCGAAGCCTTAAGATAAAACTTAAGGGCCCTAACCGGACACAGCGATCTGTCCTCGGTATCAGCAGGATGTAAGATTTTTTTTAGGGATCTTACAGTAAATTCTCTCTCAGTTTGGCCAAATTTCTGATTTTTAGCGACGAAGCCCATGAGCAGGCCCAGGCGGACCGCTCCTTCGTCGCCCCTATCGAATCGTACTTTGGTGACATCGAGTGCGTGTATTTCCGACACTCGTGCCGCCGTGGCAAAGGAGAGGAGAAATGCTGTTTTCCAAGTCACATGCCGGAACGAAAAACTACCCAAGGGTTCATACGGAGCCTCCGTAAGTGATTTCAACACTAAGGAGAGATCCCAGGCCGGTGCCCGAAGGCGGCCTTTTTTAAGATCTTGCTGTTTGAAACCCTTGATAATACCCCGTATCACCGGCTCTTTGGAGAGACTGGTACCCATAGCAACGTCCCGTACCGTAGCAACGGACGAGACATAGTTGGCAATGGAACCCCTGGAGAGTTTCCTGGTCTCTCATAAGTGAAACATGAAACGAGTAATATCCTGCACAGATACCTTATCTGGCGAATGAATGTGATGTTTACAACACCACTTCGTGAAAATAGCCCAACATGCATTATACACCTTCTGGGTAGAATCACGATGCATACTAACGTATGCCCGAGACGCCCGACGAGAAAAACTTTTACAAACCTGTAGAGGTTATGAATTCTCTGATGAAATCCTCCTTGGGGCACTTATTGCATTTTCCTTGCTCAAGAAAATCTACATGACATAGTTGTAACCATTTTCCTTAATAAAAAATGTTACCACACAAAAAACTTCGTTTTTGTATGATATACGACCACCCTTACGGGGCCTCACCCCCAATGGCGCCTCACGCCAGGGGGAGCAACTCTCACCCAAATCACTTTCCATATGTCAAATGCTGACGGAATGTGGGGAGGTGGGTGGCCGTGCCCCAAGGAGGATTTCATCAGAGAATTCATAACCTCTACAGGTTTGTAAAATTCTCTTTCTGATTAAATCCTCCTTGGGGCACTTATTGCATCAAGACAGACTCCCAAAGATAATCTAGGAAGTGGCATCCGTCAGCAACAGGCGTAAATAAATACATCGTATTTGATTATTCAACAGAATAAAATATTGAGTTCAATAAATGGAACCAACCTTATCGTGAGGCACCACCGTCGAAAGGCGGGGGCTAGAGACAGGGCGTGGTCGACCATATATTATGATAAAGCCTGTTTTTGCGGCTTGTCATAAGTTGGGAACTCGAAACACCTCCCACCCCCCCACACTTTTTTTTTTTTGAACAAGTGATATAAGGGCGTAGATCATGAGAGACCATAACCAGCGCTGAGCTAGGCCAGAGGGTCCCCGAGGATCGAAGGAGTGCGTGCGCAAAATACGAGTATTATCGAGTAGTAAGGACTGATATTTATCGACCGCAAAAGATAAAATCCGGACCATTACTGAGCAGTATAACTGGAAGACTGTCTAAAATCTCGAATGCTCAATCAGCTTGAGATTAGAACTTTGCCCAGTTCGGAGAACTGACTGAACAAACCGAGTACGCTCGCTTGAGTGTTTGTCGAGTTGGTAAGGTTTGATGAATCGTGCTCGGCTGGCTCCAAATAGCCGCGGAGCAGATCTGCTCAATGGGCAGAGCCGTGGCGTACGCTTTTGACGCAGCCACTGCTCTAACCTAATGAGCCTTCAACCTGGTAGGGGGGTCCCTGCCTGTAAGCGTATACACTGTACAAATGGTTGAAACTATCCACCTCGAGATAGATTGTTTACTCGCAGGTGAGCCAACCTTCCTACCGCAGTAACAGCAAAATAGTTGGTTATCCTTACGGACACCCATATTTCTGCTGATATAGGCCTTGAGAGTCGTGCGGACATCCAAGACATGAGCATGTCTTGCAGTGGTCCCCGACGAGGAAGGCTGTGAAAGAGCAGGTAGCTCAATAGGAGCCGTTCACGTGGAATCGTGTGCGACCCTAGGACGGTAATAGTCAGGTAGACGAAAACTGACTGTCCCGGTGATATTTATCGACCCCATGGAAGACAGTTATTTTGGGATTGGCTGGCATAACACGAATGTCGCCTACCCGTCTGCCGGACGTTACCACCACAAGGAACGCCGTCTCCCAGCTCAACAGCTGAAGAGAGAGAGACGACAGATCCCGAAAGGAAGGACCGGACAGCCAATCGAGAATGATTGACAAGTCCCAAGGGGGACTGATCCGCCGGACTGGCGGTCGGATCCTGTCCACACCTGCTAAAAAGCGCTGCACTAATGGGTGTGCACCCAGAAGTGCCCCGTCGACAGGGACGTGAAAAGCTGCGATAGCTGTAGAGTACCCTCGGACTGTTGATGCGGCCAGGCCGTCATCTAGTCGCGACTGGAGAAACTCAAGCACGGATACGAGATCTGCAGAAAAAAGATCTGCAATCCCTCTATCGACACACCAGGGCGCATAGCAGGCCTATCTATCGTACTGAACGTTTGTCGAATCCCTCCGCGAAGCCAGTATTGTGTCTGCAACTCGTGCAGGAATACCGCTCTTCTGGAGGCGATTCCTGACAGTGGCCAAGCCACCCATTGAATCCTGAGATTCGGGTGGAGGGCCCCGTTCTGGGATAGGAGGTCCGGTGTAAAGGTAATATAACAGGAGGCTGAGCCAGAAACCTGAGTATTACTGGAAACCCACTCTGCGCCGACTAAAGAGGTGCCAGGAGCACAATTAGTCGCGCAGGCTGAGTGCCTAGCTGAGACAGGACCTTGGAAATCAGAGGTACTGGGGAGAATGCCCACAGAACTGTCCGTCCAATCTAGCTGAAAGGCGTCCGGTGCCACCGACCTCGGGTCGTGAACTCGGGAGCAGAACGTTGGTGTCTGGTTATTTAACCCAGACGCAAACAGATCCACCTGTAACGACCTGTATAACAGGGAGAAAATCCCGAATATCCCCGGGTCGAGCCTCCACTCGTGAGGAGCGAGGATCCGGCAAGACAGAGCGTCCGCACGGACGTTGTCTACCCCAGGGAGATAAACAGGTAGCACCCTGATATCGTTAGAGTCGCACTATAGTAGAAACTGCCACGTCTTTCTTCGAAGCGACGGAGACGCCGTTCCCCCCTGCTTCCGGATGTAAGTCATCGCCGTTTGGTTGTCCATCTCTAGACGAACCACTTGGCCACGAAGCAGATCCGGGAAGCGTTGGAACACCAACCTGACCGCTCTCAGTTCTAGCACATTGATATGCAATTTGATCTCCTGCTGGGATCATAGTCGCGAGGCAGTGTGATCATTCAGAACGCCTCCCCAGCCGGAGAGTGACGCGTCTGTTTGAACTGTGAGAGACAGAACGGGAGTGATTCCCGACCTCGGTCCACCACTGGAGGTGTGTAATGAGCCACTACGGAGTCTCGAGCACAGTCTCGAGATCTTCCGAGTTCGCCCAAAGTCGTCGGAGTGCTTGTTGAATGGGACTCATTCTCAAGCGCGCCCGCCAGACCAAATCCACTGTCGCCGCCATGTTGTCCAGTAACTGGAGCCATGTACGAGCAGTGTGACTTGCGCTTAAGGGACTTGATATCTTGTGACAGAGATACACGTCCTCTCACCGTGTTGAAATTAGCCACTAGGAAGACTAGATTCTGAGTGGGGCTCAGATCTGACTTCTTGAGATTGACCATCCACCCTAGAGTGATCAGAATATCTATAACTTGTTGTGTAGCTATCTGACTCAGGGATTGCAATAGAGCTCTTAGTAACCAGTCGTCGAGGTACGGATGGCAGAACCGACCTTTTGACCTGGCCACTTGGGCGGGAATCAACATCAGCTTGGTGAACACCCTCGGGGCCGTGGAGATCCCGAATGGTAGAACCCTGAACTGATAACACCTCCCGTCGAAAGAAAACCTCAGGTATTTCTTGAACTCGGGGTGTATTGGTATGTGGAGATAGGCGTATTTTAAGTCTATTGACGTTAGCCATTCTCCTGTCTCCACAGTTGAGATCACTGTTTGGTGACTAGGAAACAAGTCGAGTAGAAGCCATCGCTTTCCTGTCCCTCGGGACCCGGTTCGATCGCAGCTTTCATAAGAAGTGCGTCGACCTCGGCACGGAGGAATTCCGCCTTCTCTCGGGTAGCAGACACCGGAGTGTGCTTTATCCCGGAAAAGTGGAGGAGCGGATGAGTTTTCCACCGAGGCAAATGGCCATCCCTTAAAATGGACGGGGTCCGGGGATTGTGATGTAACTGTCTCCCATTCCTTCAGGAATATAGCCAGTCGGCCGCCTACGGGGACATCCGGCTGGAGGCAGTGGACCCCGGCTGGAGGCAGTTCGATAACTTGCGACTGTGGGTTCACCCGGGGCTCTTCGGGCGCTAATGGGAACCCATCGTTCCCAGCCCCGCGAAAAAGCTGTTGGCCTCGACCAGCTGCCTTGCCCCGGCCCGTGCCTCTCTTGCTCCTCCCGGCGCCCTTATACCTGAAGGAAGCGGCGGCTTCCAAGCAGGTGTGGACGTCTGACCCGTGCGTTAGCGTAGGAGGGGACAATTAGAGAGGCCCGCTTACGCGGTTTTAACGCTTGGTACCTCCAACAAGGCCTTATGAGTCTTTGATGGAAGTATACAATTGAGCAGCCTCTCGGACCACCTGCTGAGCCCCAGGGAAGAGGGTGGCACCCTCTTATACGGCAAAGCAAGTAGGTCTTGGCGTGTGTAAGTCGAGTATTTAGATACCGACATCCACCACCTGCGCATGCCCATAACAGCGCACATCATCTGCGAGGCACAGCTACGAATAGCGTCCCGCGCAAGATAACTGAACTTCCGTTAGTTGCGCGGCCAACTCCGAAGAGTCGGCCGGCCCCTCTCCCGCTAACTCCCTCTGTACAGCCGACAGATACGCGGAGTGTACAGGCACACGGAGCTGTTGGCATGCATTATAATATTGCTCCTCGAAGCATATGAAAGCAGCCTTCAACTCCGCACCGCACACGGGAAAGGGGGGGCAAACGCGGGCCCTGCTTGACCTTAGTCAAGTTGGGTGTCTCCGACTCTGGCATGGGCGCAGCCACCTGAGGCAGTACCTGGACAATCCTGTCCCGCACGTGTCTCTGCACCCGGCCCGAGGCCGAGTCCCGGTGCCGAGGTGCCGGAGGTCCAAGGGAACCCCCCTGGCTCCGGGCTACGAATCCACTAGTGAAAGCCTCGGCCTCGGAAGAGGCGTCTGGCTCCGCTAGGGAAAAATTGTGCGTCGGTAGTGCACGGGCCGGCGCCCGCCACCCCTCCCCTGGGAAGCGACCTCGAGCCGGCGCCGAAGCCCGGTCTGAGATCGTCCCCGAGACCAAGTGGCCTGCCTCGGCCGACGCCGGGCATATCACAAGGTCTCGAAGCCGCGTCCGGCGCCGACAACGGGGAAGGCTCGGTCCGCATCTCCTCTCGGAGCTGAGACTTTACCTCCTCCATCATCGACGCCATCTGCGACTTAAGTAACACAGAAAAGTCTGCCAAAGACAGTGCAGGAGAGGGTGCAGTGCTTACTACGGGGACCCTCGAGCCTTCTCCCCCGGCCCCCGGAGAGGGAGCGGGGGAGACAATCTCGGCAGCTTTTTTTACCCTTTTTAGATGGGGAGGGGATGTCTTAGTAGATCTGATATCTACCCCCGCCTTTAATAGACCTCTTTAAAGTGGAACAAGTCAACTTGTCTCTTTTTGGGGGCCCCGGGGGGTAAAGGCAATGTCCTCCGCCAGACATATTAGGCAGCGTTCGCGCCTGTCTTAGAACAACCCGTACACAGTTTGAAGGTCTTGTAAACAAGACCGTAATTTCTGAGGTTGGCGGGAAGGGTATCAACGTGTATCAGTGCGATATAAAGATCGGAAAGAAACGTGCATAAATTGTGAAACTAGAAGCAAAGGCGTAATGTAGAATGCGATTTGTAACGCGATACTAATAGCCAATGTCGTAGTATAATTATAACACCAAAGGGGCGTGTTACGCGCTAAGGTGTAAAACCCGTAAAAAAGGTAAGTGTAGTTTATGAATTAACACACCACCTTGGGTTTTGTAAATGAAAAAATTGTAGACCAATGCTGTATGATATAACAAAACCCCAAGCCGTTTCTTAATGGCCTTGGTGTTACATGTATCAGCCCGTGGAACTACAATATGGACGCCATTACGGCCATTTGAATTCAAAGGTACCGTGCACGTGGCGTATTATTACAACTCTATAACTTCACAATGCGAGGTATTACGCCTTTGCAATGAAAGAAATGTACCATACATACAGTTTGGTCAGCCATGGTTCTTGTCGAACGATAGATTTCTCTTATTTTTTGTCTTGTGTGAAAAATCAACACGTCTGTCTCTTACAGATGACATAAGGAAAGTGATTTGGGTGAGAGTTGCTCCCCCTGGCGTGAGGCGCCGTTGGGGGTGAGGCCCCGTAAGGGTGGTCGTATATCATACAAAAACGAAGTTTTTTGTGTGGTAACATTTTTTATTAAGGAAAATGGTTACAACTATGTCATGTAGATTTTCTTGATCAAGGAAAATGCAATAAGTGCCCCAAGGAGGATTTAATCAGAAAGAGAACTTTACTCCTCAGACGCTCGGTGACGACATCTACGTGTGCAGATTGAACTGCCCTGCGTTTGGATGAAGCTGACGGGTGTGAGGGTGGATCAGGAGATCCCGTCTCACAGGCAGTGGAAGTGGCGACTGCGTGGCCTGGGTCAGCAAGTCGGGATACCACGTTCTGTTCGGCCACATGGGTGCGATCAGTAACATTCTACAGCGAACTCCTTGGAGCCAGCTGAGAATGAGTGGTATTAACGCCGTCGGCGGGTAAGCATAAGCGTCCATGCCCGTCCAGTCTAACGCGAGAGCATCGTGATCGATGGCCTTCGGGTCCGGGACTGGTGATACAAACAACGGGAGTTGATTGTTGAACCGTGTTGCGAACAGGTCTACCATCGGACGACCCAAATGTTCGCACAGCCACTGAAACACTACTGGGTTTAGCATCCACTCCGTGGGGCTCGGATCCCGAGGCCTCGATAGAGCGTCGGCCAGTACGTTCCGCACACCTGGGATGTGACGGGCGCGTACCTGGCACGGGACACTGTCCACCAGAGCGTAAAACTCGAAGCATGAGCCGGGCGTCGACGAGACGATGCTTCCAGTGATTGACTGCGTTGATCACTGCCTTAAACTCGAGACAATTGATTTGAAGACCTAGTTTGTCTACGCACCACAGCCCTGAGCTCACCTCCCCCTCTAGATGGGCGCCCCAGCCCACTAGAGAGGCGTCTGTATACAGGTTCAACGTGGCCCGGTAGGGCCGCATAGAGACTCCTGATAAGACGTTGTAAGGGACCGTCCACCACTCCAGATGCGGCCGGAGCCTATCCGGGAGGGCGACGGTCGCACTGTTCTCCTCCTGTGCTAACAACTGGATTAGAAACCGTTGCAGCGGGCAGAGTTGGAGACGAGCCCGATGGGTGCAGTCCTGGGCTGACGCAAGTAGCCCTAACAGCTGTTCCCAAAAGTGAACAGTCTGTTGCACCGCTAAGACTTTGGCAATCATCGCCTGAATCTTGTGCCACCGGTCTGGGGGGACAAAGAGGTGATGGGTCACCGTGTCGAACCGACCTCCGATGAACTTTAAGTTCTGTGAGGGGGTTAACTCGCTCTTGGGGAGATTGACAATCCACCCCACGATATACCACTAAAGGTGGACGGAAAACACAAAGTGCCGACGCCGCACCCTGTTAGTAGCGAAAAAAAGGCGGGAAACTTTTCTAAGCGCCGTATAACGAACGCCCCGTAAATTACAGTTTACTTAGGACTAAGAAACAGTAATAAATATCACCAAGGATAGCAGGAGGCTGGTAGAACGCAGAGCAGTCGATATATACGTCTTGCGAAGGCAAGCAAAGAGACAAGAGTGAAGGGTGTCACATGGCAGCTAGGTGGCTACGCACGTGCTGCATGAGGTGATTGAGATCTCTGTGGAAGATTTCCCTATAAGAGCAGTTGTGGGGGACAACAGCCTCGGTATAACAGTGGTAACGTATTACTTAATGTAATATTATCTTGTTGTACATTGTATTTTACTAGTACCCCGGTATTCAGAAAGTGTACTCACAGGTGCAAAAACATGACCCTCTAGTTCATCATGTTCTTCAGAAAACTGAAACATAAAGGCATTATTCCTTATAACATACTGTCACTGACAAACAACTGTACATAAATAAGAAAATAAGGCTAAAAGAATAATAATCTTGGTTCTCAGACACCGCCCGCATCATCACAAAGTCTGCCGCACGTTTCGTTTTTATTTCCATGTAAAAACCCACTAAAAATCCTTAAATATTCCGAATCCAACAGTAGTCAAATACTGTATTCCAGTATTTTACTCATCAAGGAATACATTTATGTAGTGAGGCCCTTTCCCAGGTTGATTGTACATAACTTTTTATTTGGTTATATAACTGTTTATTTGGTAACATACTAGTTTGAACAACCAAAAACAAAGACACTGACGCTAGCACTATATTTTCAAAAACCAGTGCCTGAGAACCAATTCTTTTATTTTATTGAGCCTAATGTAGTCCCAGAAAAGGTTTGTTTCCATGTAAAATGCAAACATTTGAAACAAACCAACATTCTGTGGTCACATCGTATAACGTATTTTGTTCTTAACAACTTCAGAATATGCATCGTCACAACCATTTTGATAACGATATATTCATTATATTTCGAACTGGCAATATAACATGGTGTTTAATGATGGTTCTGTTTATTGTCAACAGTAGACAGTATGGAACTTACTTGAAGCAGATACTCTTTAGCCTCGTCGATCAATTGAAAACCTGCCTTACTGCCATTTTCCACAAGTACCTGAAATGTCCAGATTCCTATTTGTCAGAGAAATGAATGAATATGGTTTTACACAGCTCAGAGCACTATTCCAGCAATATCCTCGCAGGGTACACCAGAAATCTGCCTCTCACATTGCACAATGTTGTACCCAAGGAAGAATTGAAATAGTAAGCAGAATTAGTAATATCTAAATATTTTTTACATTTGTAGACTTATCATACATTACTCCTAAATGCATTTACTGCTATTTGTTTACAGAAAGCAGAGCCTGTGTGAGGTTCAGCTGAAGAAGAAGTTGTTCCAACTAGTTGTCTGGCTAATCCCACTGCACACAGCCCACGAGACCACAGAAGTGATGACATCATGAATCTTCACATTACTGCTTAATCGCAACATGTTAAGACAACGTGGGGAGGCAGCTCTGTGACAGGTGGGCCTCTTTAGATGTAGTAATGCAGGATAAGTATACAACTGTAATAAATATTTCGATTTTACTAATTTTTGTACCTTTTCCTGCATTACTCAATGGATCTGAATTAACGGTATGGAGGTGGGCATACCTTCATATGTGATCCTCAGGAGACCCTCGTCAAAAAGTCCAGAAAACTGTTCCAGCATCCTTTTGCAATGATCGGTCCTGCCAGACAAAAACGAGAGTGAGGAATGTTTGACGTCCAGGTATAAGAACAGTCATTGAAAAAAGCGTACGCTAAAGTCTAGGACTGACTTACTGAGTCAATGCTTGCAGCGTGTAAACCTTTCTGTCTGGGGTGCAGGCGCTAGAGAGTTGAAAGGTCGCCTCTGGACTGCTGGAGAAATTAATGACATTTGTGGTTGGTGACCAAAACTGTGGATGCCCGTGACGTCCTCCAAGGCCACGTCTTTCAGGTATTGGCTGGCAAAGACTGTGTAGGATCTCCAAAAACAACTTTCCATGATGGATCTGATGGAGATATTGCTGTTGAGAGCCATGGTAGATGAGGCTGCTCAGATAGGGTTGTTGGTCCTGGGACGATCCAGGCCAGCGGCCTCATAAGCTTGCAAGATGATCGCTCGTATCCACAAAGATATTGTGTTATGGCTAACTTCTGTCTGGAAAGCCGTGGAAACAGGAATGAATAGTTGTCTCCTTGAACCATGTTGAGCCTTAGATCGGCGGATGTAACACCTCAATGCACGAAACGGGCACAAGTGGAGTTCCTCCTCATCTTCAGCACCCACGGTCGAAGAGAGTGGTGGGATGGTGAAGGACCTGTTGGGCTGTCCTGGAAGTTGATTCTTGGCTATGAATTCCCAGCACAGCCCAAGGTGAACGGCTCCATTCGCCCTGCATGCAAACCGGACATAGGTGATGTCAAGTGTGAGCAACCCGCTTACCCTTGCCGCTGTAACCAGAGCAAAGAGGAATACCGTCTTCTTTGTCATTTTGTGATCTTCCAGGAGAGCCAACACTGAGTTGAGGGCCACCAGGTAGGTAGTAATGGTGCTGCCTGTGAGAGGGCGGGGGAGATGCAGAAGTGAGGTCCTGATGCTTCTCCTTACAAAAAGACTCAAAGAATCGCCACTTGTCGTCGAGAAGTAGGTGTCAAGGAGACTCCTCCTAAGACATTCGATTCCACCGTCCACCACGGGAGTTGAGGCTTGAGGTATGTTGGATGATGGAGACCAACTGATCCTGGTGCCTGATGAACTAAGCTAGGAACTCCTGAATTGGGCACAGATGTAAGCAACCTCTGGATGTTCGATCCTGCACCGAAGTGAGTTGGCCCAGAATAACTTGCCACTGGCGATGGTAAGAGGCTGTTGCAGAGCTGAGAGCCGATGGCGCTGGACCTTGTACCAATTGTCCCTTGGGACAGTCAGAGGTCCTGGTCTGTCTTGAACAGGCCTCCTATAAACTGGATGGAGTGAACTCCGACTTCAGCTTGTTCACAATACACCCAGCTATTGCAAGGTGCCTGGTGAAACCCCGGTGTAGCAGGAAAGTCTCCGAGTCCTGGGTGCTGTGGAAATGGCAAATGGGAGTTTCACATATTGGTAGTGGACACCATAGAAGAGGAACCGGAGGAAACAGCTGTTGCTGGGGTGGATAGGCACAAGCAGGTAGGGTTCCTGCAAGTCAAGGCTGACCAGGAAATTGTTGGAGTTGATTCTGGTCCTGAGCAGCGTCAACATTGTCATGTGGAAATGTGGCAGGAGTTCTAGGTAATGCTCATTGAAAATTGACAGATTTTGAATCAGCCATAGCTTGTCAGAGTCGTTCTTGGGAAAAAGGAATATGGGAAAGTAGAAGAGGAGAATCGGTTAGCAGTGAGAGACGATACCCCTGGGTGAGGATGTTAGTCACATGAGGGTCCTCCAAGATGGCACAATTTTGCCAAAATCAGCCTAGTCTCTCTCCTACTGGTGTGTTGATGACTGGAATGACTGGGGGTAAGAGTTCCCAGCAGTTTAAGTGCTTCCCCTGCCTTCGGCACCTCTGCCTTGGTACATGTCCCGGCAAGGCAGGTAGCTACCCCGACCTTTGCCATGAACAGATGGGGTGTCATTGTCCTTGAGAGAAGTCGGACGTGGCTGATAGTTCCCAGACATGGAAAACTTGTGAAAGACGTACTGGGACATACTTTCGTAAGCCTTGCGGGCAGTCTCAACTCGAGCATAGGTAGAGACAAAGGAATGTGTCTCAGATATCTCTCCATTGGAAAGTGAAGAAGCAGACCAAGATTGGTATTGTAAGTTCTCTTAAATTCAGAGTTCCACTCAGTTAAAAGCCAGGTAGCTAGGATGCTAAGTTGTAGTGATCTCAGCAAAAGCAGCCTTGAGATGATTGCACATGTGATCTATTTGGCGTTGTTGGAAGGCCATAACTGTCCTCAGATGATCCACACAAATGGGATTAGTCTCTATTAAGTTCTGATCAATGGCTCGAGAAGAAGATGCAAGAGCAGACAAGGGTTCAAGGGAGCAACAAATCTCTATAAAAGCTAGTCATGTGTCTGGGATTTTGACGGTCGTAGGCTTGGAGGAGCCAGTCGTGCGATGGAGATCCTCATTAACGGCATGAGCCACATCTGCCACTTCAAATGCGGGGATAGGGAAATCATCCTTCCAGAATCAAAGAGCTTTGAAATCCGGCGTGGGAGACAACTTAGCAAAGTCCTTGTCCAATGCCACAATCATGGTCTTTCAACATTGTGTCCAGTGAATTGGAGGTAGACTGGGACCCGATAGTATCCTTCTAATCCACACCTGGGCCCAGGGAAGGAGCAACGGTCAAACAGTCAGCCATCCAGTCCAGCACCTGGCTTAGGCTTAAATGAGTGTTCTTCTTCGGGGAGGAACCCCCATTGTTAGGAACGAGGGAACCTTCTGACGAGTCTGAGCTATAATTGTATGATCTGTGGACAGGGGAATGGCTCCTGAAGCGGCGGCTGGACCTTGATGACCTAGTGCTGCATTGAGAGGAGGTGTAAGCAGGAGGTGTGAGCAATAGCGCTGGCGGGACTGGAGGCGCTACAGATGTAGGGACGAGCTGAAGTGCATCAACTGCGGAAACATGGACTCCATAAACGTCTGCATCCAAGAGGGATGCATGTAGGCCGCCTGTAAATGCTGAGGTGGCACCTGCTGGAACGGTAAGCTAGGTGGTAAACCGAATGCAGGAGGCATCAGCGCTAAAGGAGCGATATGCAGTCACAAAGCATAAGAGTGATATAATCGCAAAAGAACGTTGAAAAAATAAAACAAGCAAATGGATGCCAGTGGAATAGCTATATTGTACAGGACTTCTCAGTCTGGTTGACAAGCAGCTTATGTGAAGACACGTGACATCATCACTTCCATGGTCATGTGGGTGCTGTGCGATGGTATAAGCCACACAACTAGTTGGAATAACTTCTTCCTCAGCTGGACCTAACACAGCTTCATCTTTCTGTAAAAAAATAGCAGTAAATGCATTGCGGAGTAATGCAAGACAAGATAAAATAATAAAAATTTATCATTCAAAACTGGCTCCAACAGGAGATATCTCCTGGGAGATGTTGCTACAATAAACTTGCACTGCCATGCTTTGCACACCATGTCAACTACATCAGCTTCCATGACGTCACATCCCATGACATCACCAATATCACTGCCACGGAATCTGGTTAGCTGTACTTTTTACACTCAAGACACTGGTTATAACTGTTTATGATCAGAAAGTGAGTGAGTGAGTGAGTGAATGAGTTGGGTTTATCGCCGCTTTTAACAGTATTCCAGTTATATCGCGGCGTGTCAGCTTATTGTGGGGGGGAAAGCCCGAAGCAATGCAGGTCTCAGACGTTTACCACTTCGGTGAAACCCACCAGCACGGGTATGGTGCTGACAAACCTAGAAACATAATCGGGGCGAACCGGGATTCGAACTCACAATCATAGGTTTCTGGCATGCCCAAGGGACGCAACTCTGCACAGCGAATCGCGGCGCCTTAGACGACTGGGCCACCCGTGCCCCCATGATCAGAAAGAGTTGGAAGAGTGATTTTGGATCATAGAGTCCAAATTTACTACCCGGGTACCCGACCCCCTATTACCCAACCCGTGTACCCACAGTAGGTCTCAAGAGTAGGGAACAAAATGTCTGATTGAGAATTGCTCTGGCAAGAACTGTTTAGATACATGTATCAAACGATCAGATCATGCGAACACTGAAGTTGACTGAAGCTTTAGCTATACTCAAACATATACAAGTCAAAAGGAATGTGTGCATCGTCAGAAAGAAATGTGAACATTAGGGACTTGTAGTGTAACCACCTAGCTACAGTGAGTTTTGGTCATTGAACAATATATCATGTGACTAACCACGGGTCGGGTAGTCGTGTGGGTACCCTGGCCCTACTCAATATCCACCGGACCCGAGTACCCGAGTTACCAGTCCCAGCCCTAACATAAAGAGTGGGTGATTACCAGGAAATCGTCGGTCATCTGCCACAGGGACAGTAGAGTCTCGAGTCTCTTCTCTCGACTGGGGAGTTCCAGCAGAGTGTAGGAGCTGGTCACGATGTTGAAGGAGTTCTATACAACACAGAAACATCACACGTCATGTAGGGGACCACCAAGTTAATACTTTCACATACATCAAGATAATGCTCTTTATTTATGTTTTTCAAATCCCACATATACACTGAATATATCTTTGACATAAATCTGAAAAAGTTCAGAGCTGCACCTACCAAAGTTAGATATAGTTCACAAGATTTAAACACTGACAAGGGCAGATGCTTATACCAAGTGAAATGGAATTGTGCAAAAAATCATAAAAGCAGACAAGTTTCACTTATCATTAGTCTGCAGGAAATATGAATGTCTAAAAAGAAAATACTTTAAACACAAATGGTATGGTGTAAAAAATCATAAAAGCAGACAAGTTTCACTTATTATTAGTCTGCAGGAAATATGAATGTCTAAGAAGAAAACACTTTAAACACAAATGGTATGAAAACCTAACTCTTAAATGCTTAAATGTACTGTATGTATATACACAGCCCTACCTGTTTTTGAGATGGCAGGAACTGACGGAAATACACGCCACTGATTGTCATGTCTTTCTTCTCTTCACCTCCTGTAAAATGTACAACACGCTGAACACTCACTCACTGTAGAAGATACTCAATGGCTAGGCACAAATGCACAAAGCAAGTTACAATCTTCTCCCAGTTACACCAACCTTCCATGTTTATACATCTACAAACTGGAGTTTCATGAATCAGTCAGTCTGGATGTGACACAAACAGACACAAGTCAATGTGCTGAAGGTTTACCTTGCAACAGAAGTCTGGCCAATGTGTTCATATCTTGGGATGGGTCGACGCAATAGTATTCATAAATGTTCGGTCCCCACACTCTGTTTCCAGCCCTGAAAAGTACACCAAATGTTACAAATCAGTTATCCATTATCAAAAATTTGAATTCAACTACATGTATTTGATAATGTTACATCTTAATCTCTGCATATATAACAGTGATTAGCACAACAAGAAATACAATTGAATTGGTAAATCATCATGTCAAGTGATGTTGAATCACAAATATCATATTTCCATTTACAAAGTTTGTTATCTCTTTTTAGTTCACCAAGGGTTAGAAATTGGCACTAGTCCTGTAGTCCTTGCCAAACTACCCAATAGTTAAGGTATCATAAGGACTTGTAGAAATTTGCCATTTTTAAGTGTTTTGCTATTTGTTATCATTACAAGGACTAGTGGACTAAAAATGTTAAGTTTCTACCTCTGTAATCACCTAATTACGACATAGTTTCTGAAAGGGCACAATTCACAATTCCGGAAATAGCAATTATACTGAAGAGCACAATAAAATATGACATTACCTAACCAACATTCCATGTATAACGAGGGAGTCTCATATATGAGGGTCATCCATTGACCTCAACACATTATGGCAAGGGATGACTGGATCATTGAAGTAAAACCCTAAACTTTATCATGATCCTGTCAGTTTAAAAAAATATACAATGTGCTAAATGATGTCACTTCAATAACACAAACAAATGTTTACGGACTCATGTCAACAGGATCCATTCAGAGTGCAGTGCCATCATCCTACAGTAATGAACATTCCAGATTGGGACAATTTAAATAAACATTTAATAATGAAGCACACTCAATAGATAGCATATTCATACCATTTGAGAAAAACTATAATGAAAATTCAATAAAAAATCCAAACATTCCAAAAATATGCTTGACAGATGAAATTCTGGGTTCAAATGCTTTTGCCTTGTAACAACTTTTCAACCAATCAGATCTTCGCACATATTTACACCATAAAGTACCTACCAGACGGAGGAAGCCAGGCCAGAACCAAAGTCAAACATGGATTTAGGGCTGTACTCAGGATCTCTCCGAGATATCTGACGACAGGAAAGGTAAGTATTTAAAGGCAACTCATTAACACACAGATTAGTTTGCTTGTTTGTCTGTTGTTTAATATTGCACTCAGAAATATTCCAGCTATATAATGGTCTGTAATTAGTCGAGACTGGACCTGACAATCCAGTGACTGACAACATGAGCATCGATCCACGCAATTGGGAAGCAATGACATCCAATCCAAGTTAATGAGCCTGCCTGTATGACAAACATAGGTATCAGCCTCAGCCTTTACAGGTGCCCTACATGCATCCGTCTTGGTTGCACAGAACTGAGGACAGTTGATGTGCAATGTCTTGACCAAGTATGATAAGTTAAAATGCAGTACAATTATAGTCGGATCATAGGTTTTTGGAAATCATACGTTTTCGGACGGCCTCGTTTATCACAATTACACAAACTATAACAAGGGAAGTGGTATCACACAGACATTGTAATTACCCAGATGATGGCTTGTTTTTAATATTAAGTTGTCTTTTATAAGTGTGTGAGATGTTTTACAGTTGTTCATGTGATTAGCAAGAAAACTACGAATGTTTCAAGGTTCGAAAATCTATACTCTGCAAAAATGAATAAATGCAAAAGTGATGTTAGATGTATATTTTAGATGAATATTTTATATATCATATAAATAATCAACAGATGGTAATCGATTGTTCAAAATTGGCACACATCATTGTCATTGACCCAGGCTCCATAAGGCACACATGGAACAGTAGATTTTCAAGGTGAAGGTCATCTGTTCTCAATATCTTGTATGGCCACCATTAGAGTCCAAAACTGACTGACGTCTTCGTCTCATGGAAGCAGTCAGATCCCGAATTTTGGCCTGGGGAATGTTCACTCACTCTGCCTGCGGAGCTTGTGCTATTGGTCGGAGGTTCTGTGGTTGTTGCCGATGTGCTCGCAGTCATTGATTCAGTGCATCCCATAAATGTTTGATTGGGTTTACATCTGGAGTCCTGGAGGGCCATGGCGAGCCTGGATGTTGTGATTCCTGAAAAAGGCAGCTGTCAGTCTTGCACAGTGAGGTTGTTGGAAAATGATGTTCTCTTGTTTCGGATGTGGGGCTGAAGAATCTCATCCCTGCAACGCTGTACCGTTAAATTCCCTAGAACTTGCACCAAGTCTTTTCTACCAGTTTTGGAAATGGCTGCCCACATCATCACACTACCGACACCAAATCAGTCCTCTTCCTGTATGCAGTTTCGTGCATGACATTCCCCGCGATTTCTGTAAACATGATGTCTACCATCTGCATGGCGAAGAATAAAACCGTTGTGGCCATACTCTGTGACCTTGACACCACTGACGTTGCAGCCGATGATGTATTTCCATCAAAATGACATCTTGAACCGGTCGTCTAGCGTGAATACCTTTGGTGCGTAAATGGTTCCTCTCTGTCTGGGCTGATATCCTACACAATCCTGGTATTGACGCAGTTGTAGAGGTGGCCATGGTGGTTCTTTCACATAATGTTACATGCATCAACCAAGTCAGCGAGCTTGACAACCTGATCCCGTTGGACGGCTCTTACGACAAGCATAGTCACCTTTTACGGCAAGCATGGGTTGCTGAAGACCTTTTATCCACAGTCTTGTAATGGTGCTTGGTGCTAGATGGACAAACCTGGCTACAGCTGAAGATGAATTTCTTGTTTGCAGTCGGCCGATGGCGTTGTTGCGTTGGGTTTCTGTCAGTCGTGGCATGTATTGCTGTTCACTTGCTGTAAAGTGATGTTGCACGTGCATGTCATGTTGGCGTGTTTTGGCGCCAGGCTCTCACCTGGTTGTCTCATTCTTTCAACACAAATCAATCCCAATCCATGCAGAAATGACCAATTCATTTTTGGTATTAATTTCGTATGGATGTTGGCAAGACTCTGTCTGATATTTACGATTTTATTACTTTTATGTTTCTCTTGTTCATAACACGGATACTTATGGTTAACAATGTATTCAGTCAAACCACTGCTGTCCATTTCCCATCCTTGTGTGTGTGTGTGTGTGTGTGTGCGTGCGTGCGTGCGTGCGTGCGTCTGTCTGTCTGTCTGTATCTCTCTGCTATTATGATAAATGCCCAGCATCATTCACCACCATAGCCAGTTTCAAATGACACAATGCCATCCAATCATATTTCACTATTCTTTTATGACTAAAAGAAGGGAAGGTATATCACAAGTACCGGTACTTGGTATTCAACTTAGCTTATTATTCAACAGGCTTAAATTCAGCAGGGAATGCCTGGCAGCATAAGGAGTTCCCTTCCCCTGTCTCAATATTCAGGAAATCATATTTTCCAGTGAAATAATGTATTACAGTCTTCTGATTTGTTGCAAACTCCTCAACACGCATGTATTGAGAGCTTGCTTTGAATGTATTGCTATGCACAATGCACAAAAGAAAGTCCGTCATAAGGGAGAGGGAGACAAAATGAATCTATGTTGGCAAAAGGGTCCAACTCTATTATCTTGACAGAATGGAGATAAAATACATTACCTCATCGAGTTTGCTTCTGATCCCTCCAAAATTTCACAATTTAATAGTCCCTGTTTGTCCCTAACACTCAAACTCTACCTAAAGTCTTAACATGCTTTAAGAAGTAAAGAACAAGTCCCCATAATGGCCATAAAACAAGTACTGTAAGTGATGAACTGAGTTAGATGTAACATAATCTAATATCATCTTGATGTAAGTGGAAAGTTTTAAGTGAGGCAGGGCTTACATGATTACTAGATTGCTGAAACCCATGAACATGGGTATGGTGCTTACAAACCCAGCACAGGATTCAAACCCATGATCATAGGTGTCTGGCACATCTAGGGGATGCAACTCTCAGAACCTCAGACCAGTGGGCCACCTGTGTCCCCCCGAACAAATAGTGTTGTGATATCATCATGACATATGCATACCTCAGTAAAACACTTCATCATGACGCTGTAGTTGTGTGCCATCCGACTGTACAGATATGTCATACATGTAGGGGCATCAAATCTGAAACACAGATTTTATCATGTTAATACATCGTGTTAATCGAGGATGCGATAATTATCATTTTGGTCCACAAAATCTCTAACATATCTTACAACAAGAGTTGAGATACAAGAGGTCTGTTTCTGCATACCCAAAACCTTATATTACATTAGACTGTAAAAGTCACGTTTCCACCTTTGCTAAACTAGGCTGGAATTATAGAGTTAATATTTGGCTGGCCTCACGAGACTATGCATAGTCCAATCAAAATCGGGTAATGAAATCGACATCAGGTTCGTAAACAACATGGATTTCAACGTGCTGTTTGGTCGACTGCAGGATTTGCAAAGGATGGGTACCATCAACTGGGCATTGATGGATATTTTCCTAATCTTTTCATGTTTTTAATGAAGGTATTCATGTGATTTGATTCACTTTGTGAGGTAAGACCCGTTTTATACAATATAGATCTTGATCATCAATCAGATCGCATTGACTGGGCGCCGCCATTTTGTTTGAAGTGATATGAGAGGGGTACTCTGATTGGTCAAAAGGAGGGGCATGGAATGGACATAACTCGTAATAGTCACCGGTGGTGCTACGATTGAGGCCAGAAATTCAAGCCTTGTCCGGCAAGGGTGGAAACCGGACTTTTACAGTTAACTCCCTTGCCTTGGGAAGATGGTTTAAGTGACACTTACTTGAGGGGCACCCAGTGGTACTGGGTATAGCGAAGCCTCTTCAAGACCTGGAGACTGATCTTCTTCTCATACTGCTTCTGTTCCTCGGGGGACATGGTGGAGGTGTCAACTTTATCTGGGACAAGAAAAATAATTCAACATCAATGTTTGGGACAACTAACTCATAAAGCAAATCAAAGTTCTTCAACTTTGTCAATATATCTTGGGTTTGAATCCCAGATGAGCTCCAGTTATGATCCTTGGTTGTGCCTGTTGCCATCACAAAAGACTGTATAACTGGTGAACATCTTTGACCTCCTTCCCTTTGGGTTTTCTTCCCACAAGAAAATGATCCATAATTACAAATAAACACAATGGTATAAAAATATTTTGTAAAAGACTATTTTCTGACAGTATACACAAGTCATCACAGGAAACTATACTACCCATCTTTTGATATGGATAATCAGTTATGTCGGATATATTTATTTATTACTTGCCCATGAAGAGATCATCCGTCAAGTGATCACCTGTTTAATAAACATACAGCTGTATTACACATTGTGTAATACCAAAACGCGTGCTTATGTACTCTCGGAACACGTTTCATGAACAAATATTGAAAGCTCTCAACATCCCTTGGCTTATTCAACGACATTGCTTGTGGAGATGATAGATAACTGAGAGGAGCTTATGCACACTATCAAGAGTGGAGTAGTATATCATGCTTAAGTTTGTCAGTTGGCTCACCTTTACTAAGGGACTGGCCATTTATCATAGGGAGGGTGGGAGGTGTCATGAAAAAAGTGCTACATGTATTCAATGAAGGGGTTGTGGGAGTCAGCAAATATAATATGGTCCTAAGACCAAGTCTACTCACTCCCCCCTCACACCCTTAATAATACATGACAAGTCCCAATCTCATTAAAATCAGATCTAAGTTCTTGCTTCTGCTAAACAAAGATTTAAGGACATCCTATTACGGGTCACTTCAGAACGGCCTTTCGTGAACTTTGACCGTCCAATGAAACTACAATTAAGGAATCGACATCAGCCAATTAGAAAGCAGCTTCCTCGAGCTTTAAGGCACTCGTTTCAACCTAGAGACTTCCATTTCAGACTACACTTGAAATTTTGAAAACTGAACAAACTACCATTCCGGAATGTTTACTATATGGCTGAAGGCTTCCCACATACTGTGCAAGCCTCCTCCGTTCAAATGTTTCTCCCATGGAAGTGAGAGATAGGCCATAATTTTGGCGGAATCAGTCGTACTGGGCATAACTGTTGTTCGGAATACCCCCTTTTAATGTTTCGAGGTTGCATGATTAGAAAACACATTCCAACTGTCACTTTCATGATCTGGTAAGCGACGCATTGATTGGTCTGATGAAAGGTTGTTCTGACCTGTAATGGGATGTCCTCAGATCTTTTTTAGCGATAGCAAGAAATAAGATCTGATTTTAATGAGATTGTTACAAGTTCCTAAATATGTTTTGGATGGGCTTCTATTCATCACCTGGTACCTTACTATTGCGATTTGTATTGTATTGCAACAAAGCATATTGTTACAGCCCAAAGTGGCAATGCACTTTTATCAACTAGTTTGTTGAACTCAGCAATATTCTAGCTATATGATTGCAGCTCGCAAATAATCTAGATCAGACAAACCGGTAAATCACATAATCTAACTTCCCATCCTTTCTGCTGAGGAACTATTCCAACGAAGAATCGGGGGGCACGGGTGGCCCAGTCGTCTAAGGCGCCGCTATTCGCTTTGCAGAGATGTGTCCCTTGGGCACGCCAGAAACCTATGATTGTGGGTTCGAATCCGGTTCACTCCGATTATGTTTCTAGGTTTGTCAGCACCATACCCATGCTCATGGGTTTCACCGAAGTGGTAAATGTCTGAGACATGCATCACTTCAGGCTTTCCTCCCACATTAAGCTGACATGCCATGATATAACTATAATCCTGTTAAAAGCGGTGTTAAACCCAACTCACTCACTCTCTCTAACCCAATAGGGGGCTTCATCAAATAGGCCTGCATAAACCATTGACATTGGTTCTGGCTTGCTGCACTTGTGCTGTTTTCACCAATTGCTCTGCCCAATATTGATGCTATGTACTAACCCTTTTCTTTAATGTTATTTTGTATTTCCTGGGCCAGTCGAGTGAGAGTGTCTTGCTCTGTTGGGGGATGTCGGGAGTGCAGGTAGTTGTTCAGCTTTTCACTCCGCTTGTTCAGGTTCTGTACAGGAAAGGCTAATAACAGACAGTAAAATGTTTAAAACACCAATAGTATCTCAAATATTTTATGACAAAAGTGACATTCATTATCAACCTCATTAAAATCAAATCTTTTACACTGATTTGCAAAGAGGTCTCAAACTGGAGTAATCAATCTCTGCAGAGAGGTATCTAATCGAAGTAAAAGATTTGATTTTAATCATGTTAATATTTTGCATTCATAATAGTTCCTTTTTGGACAAACATTGCATTACCGTAGGTATTATGAGAGACGGAACCCCTTTCTTATGATATAATGATGATTGAAAATAGGCAGCCATTTATTCAGTTTATTCATCCAAAAGTTTCACTTTCACAAAAAATTAATGATACATATGCAGTATGTCCACAACTAGTTTACCAATCTAATGTCCAATATAGGCAAGAAAAAGAACAATACTGGGATGGTTACAAAAGCTATAGAAAAACACGAGAAAAACACATACAGCAAACTATGGTTATAATGAACCCAAAGTGACCACTAATTTTAGTTCGTAATAACCATAGTTTGTCATAAGCATTTACACAGCATATATACAAAAAATATCCGGGACTAAAAACTAAGTTCGTTATATTTATCAGTTTGTTTTAAACGTGTTTGTTATAAACATAGTTTACTGGGTTTCTTTTTTGGTATGAAGCATTGTGTTTCATATGTCATCAGGTTGTTTATTTCTAGTGTAACGTACTGTCAATAACTTTCTTGATGGTGGTGCTCAGCTTCTCTGGCATCTTGACTGGCCTCAGAGTCATTATCCCAGGGTGAGTTTTGAAACTAATGCCACCCTTTGTCATAGGTTTAGCAACATCCGGATCCACACAACACTCTCCAGGTTTGATGTGCCGTGCTTGTTTAACTTTTGAGGAACAGCTCTGAAATAACATGTGGTTGACAACATAGTTACAAGAAAAAAATGTACTGAACATGCTAAAAGTCTGTTAATTAGGGTCAAATCCTTTATATAGTCGACACAGATTGTATATTTACAGATCAGATGTAGACAAGTTGTGATAAAACTGGAACTTCAATTTACAGCATCAAGATTTGCATTTTTGTATAAGAAAACATGTAACTCGACCCACTATATATTCCTCTATGACCTCTAGTAAAGGTAATGGTAATATATTTATAATAAAAAGTTAGAATACAAGTTACAATTAGCTTTTGTCTTTGGCAAATCAAGCTCAAGACAAACATTCGTCAAATTTATTCATTATTTTTCATGTGATCAGTGGTCGGGTCAGGGAAACTTTTTGTTTGTTTGTTTGTTGTTAAACGTTGCACTCAGCAATATTGCAGCTATATGACGGTGGTCTGTAAATAATCGAGTCTGGACCAGACAATCCAGTGATTGATATCATGAACATCGTTCCACACAATTGAGATACGCGATGGTATGCCCACACCACTCAATAAAAGTTGATTATATTATTGTGATCGTGTAACATTGTCAAATATTTGTCATTGGGACACTGGACATGTCCCTTTCTAGAGCATTTAGGCCAAGCGTTTTGATTGATTACCCAAATACATTGATTACATTATAACATTAACTGTTTTTATCAGCTGTTATGCATGAAGTAATGTCAGCACACATTCAATGACAAAACCTCTGCCTATAATAAATGCGATATTTTCAAAACCAAACAAGTAAAAAAGTTGATTTGCGAAATGTCGGATCTGACATGTAACAAACAGATGATGTGTACCCTTAAATGTGATTTTGATGCTTCGCGTGTCAGTAATGACGGTATACGATACAAGCAGCATGCTTGTGTTTTCATTCTCATGGACGCGGCCATTTTGTAGGCTCGCACCACTTTTGATGAATACTTCCATTGGTCAATCAACAGGCACCTGCTAAGGGTAGGTAACTCCCATCGTCTGCTTAACCAATGATGAAAACGAGTTGGATCACCTCATGTGTGTGGCCTAACCATGTAAACATCAGCTGTTGATCGGTCAGTATAGTGATGTAGATATCAGAAGTTTGAGAAATCGGCACGATATAGACATCAAGATGAGATCTGTTACGTGCACAGCGCCTGTCAACATAGCTGTCATCAAGTATTGTAAGTCAGATTAACTTTGTGTACACGCTGTAGTAAGTTCTGAACTAATATGTGTAGTTTGGATCTTGAGTATTTCCAAACGGTGACATAGCCAATAACATTTTATATTGTTTTCAGTGTAGCAACATAATAGTTTTCTCCCAAGTTTATTTCTAATTAACCTAGCCGAGAGCCACGATGGGGTCCTACAGTAGCGGCTCCCGGCTATGTATGTAACCATGTTAACTAAATCAGTATTCAATGGACTTAAAGAAACTATCAAGGCAAGTATGTGTATAATATCCAGCATTCAATGTGTATTGATCAAAACAGAAATGAAATTGGGTGATTATATCAACTATGATTATTATCAGGAAAGTTTTAACAATTGTAGTCAATATTGTGAAAGAAAGAGAAGATGTAATCGGGGATGTAGTGCATAATATAGAACATATTGAATATTGAAAATTAATCAATATTGTTTTTCATACATTGCAGGGGGTAAACGAGATGAGACTCTCATTCTGCCTATCAACTCTTCCCTCAGTGTCACACTGGGACAAAATGAGGTCAGTCACCATGTCACAGTTTGTAGTAATTTCATATTGATTAACAAGTTAATAAAGTGAAGTTTGTTATTAATGTATTTACAAGGAACATGCTGTAATAAATGAGTAAAAACTGATGTTTCTAAAGCCTTGATAATTGTGAGTACACAATATATGTTTTTTACAAGGCAGTATTTCATACATACATTGTCATCATAGTAAATGAAATTTTAAAAGGGAACTTTTTGTTAAGGAAAATAAATAAATGAGGTTTGCTCTCATTTCATGTTCATTGTCCTTGATTAACCTCTTGGAGTGGTTAAGTATCTGAAGTGTATCAATAACATGCCTGAAAATAATGATTCATGAGAAATTGAAGTTAGTTTTCCAATATGGATACTGGTTTATTAGAGGGAATACATCTCTTTCAATTCCAAGACATCATTCTCTACATCTTGTCTGTTTCACCTTGGAGTTGAGGAGAATGTCGAAACGTGACCACTGACTGTCTAATATGTGGCAACTTTGCCATTCGTGTTTACGATAATATGAAGTCTTTGTCAGTTATGTCAAAAGTGTGAGACATTGTCAATGTGGCAGGGTGTAGATCATCCCACAGATGACATCCTTACCTATGTCAGCTTGCTGATGGGGTTACCTCTTTCAGCATGTGGACAAGGCGTCGGACCTCTGATCAGAAGGTCCAAGGTTCTAACTCGGAAATTTTATAGCCGCTACATTGGCACCCAATGAGTCAAGGTGTGATTAAGGAAACAACTAACACTATCCCAAACCCAGTTTTGACACAAATGATGTTAAAACACAGAAAAACAAATGTGTCTATAAATCTATGATGTTAAAGCCTGAGATAATATGAACATTGTTTGGATTTTCAACATCACTGAATGTATTGTTGGATATTGTTTTAAAAAATAGTTGAAGCTTCTGTCATGTTACATTCTTCTTCCCCTCAGCTGAGAGCCAAGACGACCGTTGCTATAAGTAAATCCTTCAAAGAAGACAAGATATGGTTAAACGGAAAGTATGTTTATGATTTCATACTATGAACTATGAACACTACAATTGACAATATATGTTTTCAATAACCAATACTCCTCACATATAATACAGAACTGCATGGGCATTATGTATTCACAAAGTTTTGAACCAAGTCTGAGGTCATAGATGAGGTGAGGTGAAATAGGGTTTAACGTCACGTCCAAGATTATTGCACTTATATAGCAACGTGCATGCACGTGTATGTGTGTGTGTGGCTGCTTGTACTAGTCCGGACTGATGCCGATTTATAGTGCTAGCTCACAGAGATACCATGCCGCAGTTTAACATGAATACCCCACTCAGACAGAGTATACTGACTCCAAGCCGACCAGTCCTTGTTTTAGCCCCTTAATGCCGAGCGCCAGACAGGGTAACAACAAGTACAATCTTTTAACATCTTTTTGTATGACGCGGCCGGGATCAAACCCCGGACCTTCCGCAGACCCAGACAGTCTCGGAGGTCATGGAGGTAGCTTATTGGATGGAGAGCTAGTATAGGAGTGCTTCTTCGTACATTGTGTTAATACACTAGTTGTTTGTTTGTTGTTTAACAAAGTAAACTGCCGCCCTTACCGTACCCATACTTTACCATCTTTAAAGTCAATAAACCCAACGCCCACAAAAGAAGAATTGTGTTTTACTTCTACAAGATGGATCTGGCTACACATGTGTTTTGTTTTCCAGAGAACAATCTGTTGATTCTCCAAGAATACAGAATGTTTTGAAAGAAAGTAAGTACTCATAAAAACTGCTCTTTACGTATCATTTATAGTCCAGACTGTTCTCTTGTTATGAGATGTGACACAAACAATAGATTGTTCTGTATATATGACCAAAACAATAGATTGTTCTTTAGATATGACCAAGACAATAGATTGTTCTTTAGATATGATCAAAACAATAGATTGTTCCATAGATATGACATAAAGAATAGATTGTTCTATATATATTTATGACCAAAACAATAGATCATTCTTTAGATATGACCAAAACAATAGATTGTTCTTTAGATATGACCATAACAATAGATTGTTTCATAGATATGACCAAAACAATAGATTGTTCTTTAGATAGGACACAACAAACAATATTCACCATGTTCACCCAATGCATCTAATCAGAAACTGACAAATGAAACGGAACCGTGTTGTAATAAATGTAATATTTGGAAGAAAGTGATACATGTCTTAGAATGATCTGTACATTATTGATTATGAATATTGAAAGTTTTCTTTTGACAAATAGAAAGACATGTCAAATAACAATACATGAAGCCGATAATAAGTGATGTTTCTTGTCAAGTTCGCCGTCGAACACGGAAGCGGTCAACTGGAGATGTCAGAGAGGAAACCTTGAACATGAAGGTTCACATCTGTTCCGAGAATAATTTCCCCACAGCGGCAGGTTTGGCCTCTTCTGCTGCCGGATATGCCTGTCTTGGTAAATATACTTACTGCCTTGGAATACTTAAAACAACATTGCTCATAGTTTTGTTTTCATTGGTGGTTTAGGGGGTGCATAGGTGGCCCAGTGGTGAAGGGTGCCAGATGCTGCTGTGCGGTATTGTATACCTTAGCCAAGACGGGTTCCACTTGTTGTAGTTTTGAAACTCAGATCTGTGCAGTTTGGGTAGCCTAATGGTTAAAGAGTTTTCTCTCACACTCAAGACCTGGGTTGAGGTTACCCACATGGGTACAATGTGTGAAGCCCATTTCTGGTGTCCCCCACCATGATATTGCTGGAATATTGCTAAAAGCAGCGTTAAACCATACTCACTCACTTTCATCCAGATGTCTACACACAGCTCCACAGGTTGATGTAACTGAGACACTCACTTTTGTTTGGAAAGACTATACTGTAGGTATGTTTTGTTTGTAGTCACATGTTTTATCCATTTTTATGTTATTTCTTCAACAGTCTATTCTCTGGCTAAGCTATTTGGTGTGAAAGGAGAGATTTCTGATGTTGCAAGGTAAGTAGTAAATGCTATAGCAGCTCTTATTGCTTCGGGTTCTCTCATTGCTAAGGATGGTTTTGATAAAAAATGTCTGTTCCTTAAAATTCTGGACAAAAGTACTTAGGTTTTATGTACTCAGCATTTCAAAAAAGTGAAGAAGGAAGAAACAGCCTTAAAAATGCCTCCTCAGTCAGGATCCAAGAGGTGACTAAATTTGAAACCCGTGTGGATTGCATGTTAGAACTGGTCCCAACAGCCTATGCTGGTCGTAAGAGAAGACTTAATGGAGTGGGTGGTCAGGTTAGGTGGTTTGGTTGATGACATACCCAGAAGGCGTGGGTCTTTGCTCGTAATATCAATCACTGGATTGTCTGGTTCAGACATTTTTACTGGCTGCTCTCATATTGCTGAAATAATGCTGAGTGCGGTGTTAAACAACTAAAACACACTCACGAAATTCATCTGTTCCCATGACATACTGGATATTCTGAAAAAAATGTCTGTTGGGTCCATCAAAACGGTTTGCCCAGTTGTCTATTTTCTGTGCAGATTTGCATTCCTTCCGTGTGCCAGAAACCTGATCGTGGGTTTGAATCCTATTCGCCGTGGTTATGTGTCTAGGTTTGTCAGCACCATACCTATGCTCATGTGTTTCCTTCCACATGAGGCTGTCCCTTATGTACTTGCTGGGCTATAACTGAAATACTGTTCAAAGCATTGATAAACTAAACTCACTCACTCTGCAGGGGTTGCATGAGGAGGAGACACTAGTCACTAGTCCGGTCGTATCAAGGCTGTTGAAGACCTTGGATTACTACTTCTCAAATCTATGTTTGTGACGTAAACCGCCTGTCTAAATTGAGTTGTTTTTTTACATGTGTCTACCACTGTGACTAACATCAGTTTAACCTGCAACTGCTGAGTCACATGTACATATCCTTGCAGACAAGGGTCTGGCAGTGCCTGTCGGAGTGTCTATGGTGGCTTTGTGTTATGGGACATGGGCAAGGAAGAGAGTGGGAAGGACTCACTCGCCAAACAAGTTGCTCCTGCTGATCACTGGCCCCAACTCCGGGTTCTCATTCTAGTGGTGAGATAAACTGAATGTGTTCTATTTTCCACATCCCATCATCAGAGACACAGCCTTCACACCCTTCACACCCTTCTTCTCTTGTAATCATCCACACCACTAGTTCCTCCCTTATATGAATGGGTGACCTACTCTAAGACACTGAGGGATGGTCAGGTAGCGTAGTGGTTAAAGCGTTCACTTGTCACGAAGACCCAGGTTCGGTTCCCGACATGGGTACAATGTGTGAAGCCCATTTCTGGTGTCCTCCGCCTAGAAATATTGCTAAAAGTGGCATAAAAACATACTCACTCACTCTTAAGACCCTGCAATTTGCTGTGCAGAGTTAAGTCCCTTTGGAGGGCCTGAAAACTTTGATCCTGGGTTCGAATCCTTGTTCACCTTGATTATGATGTGTTTGGGCTTGTCAGCACCATACTCATTATTGTGGGTTTCACCAAAGTGGTAAAGGTTAAAGTGAGTGAGCGAGTATGGTTTTATGCTGCTTTTTGCAATATTCCAGCAATATCACGGCGGAAGACACCAGAAATGGATTTCACACATTGTACCCATGTCTTCGGCGCGACGAGTGAATGCTTTAACCACTAGGCTACCAGACCGCCCACTACAAATGCTAAGAGGCATGTTCCTCGTGAACTACCGGAAATCACAAATGCCGCGATACGATATCAAGGCAGGGGACACCAGAAATGGGCTTCAGACATTGTACCCATGTGGGGAATCTCACCAAGATCTTCGGCATGCAAGCGAACACTTAAACCACAAGACTACCCCACCGCCCCATAAACGTTAAAGACTATGGGGTTTCCCCCCACATGAGTTTGCGATGCTGACTATTAGTTGATACTGTTCAGGCAGTGTTGAACCAAACTCGCTCACTCCAGTTAGATTGTATGCACATTAAACAGTGAGGTTTTACAACTACGTCTTCTATACAACGGTATTGTTACTGAATCATTGTTCAGGTGTTGCTGAGGTGTTGCTTAGATATCATGGAGGTATTCTGGCAAATATTCTAATCAAAGCTTTCTGGCATGCACAAGGGACACAACCCTTTTGACCAGGGAGTGACATTGAATATTGATTGCATGAGAAGAAAGGTAACTATTTCATATAAACGTGTTATGTTCCCTGGGGCACATTTGGAGTCCACGATATTTGTGTCCCTGCTGCAGGTGAGTGACCAGAAGAAACATACAAGCAGCACGGAGGGGATGCAGACCAGCGTCAAGACGAGCGAGCTGCTCAAGAAGAGGGTGGACGTTGTGCCACAGAGGGTCAACGACATGGTGGACGCCATCAAACAGAAAGACTTCCAGATGTTTGCAGAAATTACGATGAAGGTGAACATGTCTTCAGTTTACTTAGAAACAGAGATTACATTCCAGATTACATTCCATTCCATCTGAGAAGTCTATTAATGATAGGCAGTTTGTTTTTGGACAATTTTAAACATGCATTTAAAAGTTTGCATTTCTTTCATGTTTGTGGAATAAGACACAGCAGTAAATTTGTTTACTATGTATTAAAGTTCTTTTTTGTTCAATTTTGCCTCCAACTTCATTGCATGGATCATTGTTCACTTTATTATACCCCGGACCTAAAAGGTCGGGGGTATATAGTTATACCAAGGTTCCGTCCGTCCGTCTTTGAAAACTTTGTCCGTGCGATTTCTCTTAAACTATTCAGTGGATTCATCTCAAACTTAGTACACATAAGCTATGTCACATGGAGGGGTGCAGTCAAAAGAAAAAAAATATTTTTATTAATTTTCCATTTTTTTATGAATTTTTCAAACCCTAAATCTATCCTAGCTATATAATTTGAAACTACTGACACACTAGGCGGGTCGGGGGTATTAGTGAGCCACGCTTACTTTTGCCCTTGTTAATCACAGGTTTGTCAGGCCAGCTTAATTATTTACAGGCCTCCACAATATAGGTGGAATATTGCTGAGGGCTGTGTTAAACAAACAAACTTATGAGTATGTTTTGTGTTGAAGGAGAGCAACCAGTTCCATGCTGTTTGTCTGGACACATACCCACCCATCTCCTACATGACCGACACATCCAGACAGATAGTCCGACTGGTCCATGCCTTCAACAAACAGTGTACACACACAAAGGTATGGACAGAAATCTGTCATTAAACTTTATCCATTCTTGCTGTCTGTGTGGCCTGTTTCTGTCTTGTAAAATCCCACAGAAGTTGACTGGCTGGCATGTGCATATAAAGCTGAAAAAGAAACAAGGTCACGCCAGCTATTTCCTGATTGGATGAAACTAGATGGGGGCGTGTGTTGCATTGTTGTGCTGAATGATGTCACTGATTTTATAAGGTTGTCTACAGTTAGATTTGTGTTAATTGTTATGTCTTCTCAATATACCACAGTATATATGGTTTGAAGATAGTAGGTTTATTGTGCTGAGTGTGGAGTATACATCCACATGGTCAATCAAGCTCCTTACAGCGATAGTCCGTTCGCGGAGCTCTCTATACCATCGCTGCCACCAGTCAAAACTCCCCACTGAGATAAGGTGGCCCCAAACATGCTTGGAGTTGAACTCGCAACTGAATGATCGTTATGTTTACAAACAAGTGACGACTGTCGTGACGCCGAATACACTTACATCTGATAAATTACTTTCTTTCTTTGTCAATTTGAATTTCTATTTCATTAAAAGTATCATCTTTAATTGATATAGTAAGAATGTAAGTGAGAGGTTGGTTGATTTTCCGTTTTCTGCAATCTCGAACCAATCTGATCATTAAAACAACAAAGTAAATTCATCTGGAAAACATGGTCAGTCGTAAACCTTTTCAAAATTCACTATGATGGCATTCTCAAAGACATAAACAAAAGTATAAACGTTACTAATATGGGGTTAGAGGACAAATTTCAAGATTCTTGTAATGGCCGCGCCAACACTGGTGGCAGCGATGTTACCGAGAGTGTAACGAAGGTGTCATACGCTGGGAAGGAGCTTGATTATATAAGGGAGATTACTCTCACCTCTCTACAGTCATGCATAACAGAGCTAGCAGTCTTTAGGCGGTAGATCACCTAACCATTGTCATATATAATATGTATAACCCTACATTAATCATTACATTAGCAATCTATGAAATTATTTTTGTTAAAAAACAATGCGCAAACTTTTTGTAAATCCGCTATTGAAGTCAATTCTTAAGTAAGTTTTTGACCCTCATCATGGGTTTTTATACACTACATGTAGGCTAAAACAAATAGTAGTCTTGGTTCTCAGACACCGTCCACATTATCATAAAGTCTGCCGCACGTTTCATTTTATTTCCATTTTAAAAAAAAATAAAAAAAATCTTTAAATAATCTTGTATCGAACACACAACCCCGGCAGTTAAATGCTACAATACTCAAGAACAACATGATTTCCCCGAAATTATTGTAAACAAAATTTGGTAGCTTGAACACTCCCAAAGCCATTGCTTGAGAACCAATTATGTTGTTTTTTTAAGTCTGTCCATCAACTGTGAATGCAAATATTGTGCAAGTCCCTTGCACCTAAATCAGTCAAACCAGGTTGTGTTGCACCAATGGGAACAGATATATAGTTTGACTTGTCCAAGGTTCAACTCATCTGACTCGACCTTATAACTATCTGACCTAGCTGTCAGATAACGTCAGACAACGTTACACATCATGCACGTTTATGCAATCATCACTGCTTCTCATACTGAATGTGTTGCTATGAGTTAGTTACAGACACATTGTGTTCAGGCCATTATACTGGGAACATGTTCTAGCTTGTGCAAAGTTGTGTTCTTCATAGGTTTTTACTTTGACTTATCATGGTCAGGTTTAACTCTGTAATTTGAGTTTGAGACAAAAGGACATTTGACATATCAAGTTTGACACATCCAGGTTATTAAGATGGTGATAAATATGGTAAGAGTTTCCCGGGACGAGACTGTGAGTTTGACACAACCAGAGATTCGACAGATCTGAGATTGAGACAAAACTGTGAGTTTGACACAACTGGGGATTTGACAGATCTGAGATCTAGACAACATGGTTTTACTGTATACCAAACTATATCAGTCCCGCTAACATTGCTCTATTTGTCACCTCTGTGTGTGTTTGTGCATGCAAGTGTGCACACGTGTTATTTAATACATTTTTTTTCCATTAAGATGTTTGAGTTGGTTAGTTTAGTTGAAAACAATAATGCTAATTCTGTTTAAATTGCAGGATGTTTAATATTTTTTGGGTAACCTATAATATATATATTCTGTTGAAACTAATGCTTGAATTCTTTCTGATTTCATAGGTTGCATACACATTTGATGCTGGGCCAAATGCATGTTTGTATTTATTGGAAGAGGATGTAGCAAGAGTTGTGTCCCTTATTAAATACTACTTCCCTATGAGTGATAACAATACTGACCTTGAGGTTAGGGGACTGAGTGTGGAGTCATCATCTGTAGAAGTAAGTTGGCAAATAGTTTAGAATGCTTGTACAACAATAACATTACCAATATGGTGTCACATTGTCGTATCTATTTAAATTTGACAAAATGATTGCACAATTTTTAAGAGTGGTTAGTCAGGCTTGAGTCAGTTGGCACTCCCAGTAAGCATGTGTCAAGGCATCAGCTATTTGAAATTTTATGATGTAAATCATTCAGGAAGTTAACAAATAGCCATGGCACCGATCATGTCTCAGTTTTACACATGGCACCGATCATGTCTCAGTTTTACACATGGCACCGATCATGTCTCAGTTTTACACATGGCACCGATCATGTCTCTGTTTTACACATGGCACTGATCATGTCTCAGTTTTACACTGATCATGTCTCAGTTTTACACATGGCACTGATCATGTCTCAGTTTTACACATGGCACCGATCATGTCTCTGTTTTACACATGGCATTGATCATGTCTCAGTTTTACACATGGCACCGATCATGTCTCAGTTTTACACATGGCACTGATCATGTCTCAGTTTTACACATAGCACCGATCATGTCTCAGTTTTACACATGGCACTGATCATGTCTCAGTTTTACACATGGCACTGATCATGTCTCAGTTTTACACATGGCACTGATCATGTCTCAGTTTTACACATGGCACTGATCATGTCTCAGTTTTACGAAAGGAACCGATCATGTCTCTGTTTTACACATGGCACTGATCATGTCTCAGTTTTACACTGATCATGTCTCAGTTTTACACATGGCACTGATCATGTCTCAGTTTTACACATGGCACCGATCATGTCTCGGTTTTACACATGGCACCGATCATGTCTCTGTTTTACACATGGCACTGATCATGTCTCAGTTTTACACATGGCACTGATCATGTCTCAGTTTTACACATAGCACTGATCATGTCTCTGTTTTACACATGGCACTGATCGTGTCTCAGTTTTACACTGATCATGTCTCAGTTTTACACATGGCACTGATCATGTCTCAGTTTTACACATGGCACCGATCATGTCTCAGTTTTACACATGGCACCGATCATGTCTCAGTTTTACACATGGCACCGATCATGTCTCAGTTTTACACATGGCACCGATCATGTCTCAGTTTTACACATGGCACCGATCATGTCTCAGTTTTACACATGGCACCGATCATGTCTCAGTTTTACACATGGCACTGATCATGTCTCAGTTTTACACATGGCACTGATCATGTCTCAGTTTTACACATGGCACTGATCATGTCTCAGTCTTACACATGGCACCGATCATGTCTCTGTTATACACATGGCACTGATCATGTCTCAGTTTTACACTGATCATGTCTCAGTTTTACACATGGCACTGATCATGTCTCAGTTTTACACATGGCACTGATCATGTCTCAGTTTTACACATGGCACTGATCATGTCTCAGTTTTACACATGGCACCGACCACCACGTGTTGACCTAGACTGGAGGTTAGTGCCAAGCAGTAGATCATAGCTCATTGACCACATCCGCCAAGTAAAGATGTGTTTTGTTGATGAATGGTAGAAAATGATCTTTGTGTTTCATCTTTCCAGGAACACATTAATAACTTTGAGATGCCCCGGACTCCAGATGCAATCAAGTATATCATACATACTCAGGTAAGTCTAGATGCAGTCAAGTATATCATACATACTCAGGTAAGTCTAGATGCAGTCAAGTATATCATACATACTCAGGTAAGTCTAGATGCAGTCAAGTATATCATACATACTCAGGTAAGTCTAGATGCAGTCAAGTATATCATACATACTCAGGTAAGTCTAGATGCAGTCAAGTATATCATACATACTCAGGTAAGTCTAGATGCAATCAAGTATATCATACATACTCAGGTAAGTCTAGATGCAGTCATGTATAATCAAAGATACTCAGGTAAATCTAGATGTTGTCAAGTATATCATAGTTACTCAGGTAAGTCTAGATGCAGTCAATTATATCCATACATACTCAGGTAAGTCTAGATGCAGTCAGGTATAATCAAAGATATTCAGGTAAATCTAGATGTTGTCAAGTATATCATATATACTCAGGTAAGTCTAGATGCAGTCAGGTATAATCAAAGATATTCAGGTAAATCTAGATGTTGTCAAGTATATCATACATACTCAGGTAGGTCTAGATGCAGTCAGGTATAATCAAAGGTATCCAGGTAAATCTAGATGCAGTCAGGTGTATCTTACATACTAAATTAAGTCTTGATGCAGTCAAGTATATCAAAGATTCTGTGTTGTGACTCTGACTGTATGACTGTTGTGACTGACTGTATGACTGTTGTGTCTCTGACTGTATGACTGTTGTGACTCTGACTGCATGACTGTTGTGACTCTGACTGCATGACTGTTGTCACTCTGACTGTATGACTGTTGTGTCTCTGACTGTTGTGTCTCTGACTGTATGACTGTTGTGAATCTGACTGTATGATTGTTGTGTCTCTAACTGTATGACTGTTGTGACTCTGACTGTTGTGACTCTGACAGCATGACTGTTGTGACTCTGACTGTATGACTGTTGTGACTGACTGTATGACTGTTGTGACTCTGACTGTATGACTGTTGTGACTCTGACTGTATGACTGTTGTGTCTCTGACTGTATGACTGTTGTGACTCTGACTGTATGACTGTTGTGACTCTGACTGCATGACTGTTGTGACTCTGACTGTATGACTGTTGTCACTCTGACTGTATGACTGTTGTGACTCTGTATGACTGTTGTGAATCTGACTGTATGACTGTTGTGACTCTGACTGTATGACTGTTGTGACTCTGACTGTATGACTGTTGTGACTCTGACTGTATGACTGTTGTGTCTCTGACTGTATGACTGTTGTGACTCTGACTGTATGACTGTTGTGACTCTGACTGTATGACTGTTGTGACTCTGACTGTATGACTGTTGTCACTCTGACTGTATGACTGTTGTGACTCTGTATGACTGTTGTGAATCTGACTGTATGATTGTTGTGTCTCTAACTGTATGACTGTTGTGACTCTGACTGTTGTGACTCTGACAGCATGACTGTTGTGACTCTGACTGTATGACTGTTGTGACTGACTGTACGACTGTTGTGTCTCTGACTGTATGACTGTTGTGACTCTGACTGTATGACTGTTGTGACTCTGACTGTATGACTGTTGTGACTGACTGTATGACTGTTGTGTCTCTGACTGTATGACTGTTGTGAATCTGACTGTATGACTGTTGTGACTCTGACTGTATGACTGTTGTGTCTCTGACTGTATGACTGTTGTGACTCTGACTGTATGACTGTTGTGACTGACTATGAATGTTGTGACTGACTGTTGTGACTCTGACTGTATGATTGTTGTGACTCTGACTGTATGACTGTTGTGTCTCTGACTGTATGACTGTTGTGTCTCTGTCTGTATGACTGTTGTGACTGACTGTATGACTGTTGTGACTCTGTATGACTGTTGTGTCTCTGACTGTATGACTGTTGTGACTATGACTGTATGACTGTTGTGACTCTGACTGTATGACTGTTGTGTCTCTGACTGTATGACTGTTGTGACTATGACTGTATGACTGTTGTGACTCTGACTGTATGACTGTTGTGACTCTGACTGTATGACTGTTGTGACTCTGACTGTATGACTGTTGTGACTCTGACTGTATGACTGTTGTGACTCTGACTGTATGACTGTTGTGTCTCTGACTGTATGACTGTTGTGACTCTGACTGTTGTGTCTCTGACTGTATGACTGTTGTGACTCTGACTGTTGTGACTGACTGCATGACTGTTGTGTCTCTGACTGTATGACTGTTGTGACTCTGACTGCATGACTGTTGTGTCTCTGACTGTATGACTGTTGTGACTCTGACTGTTGTGTCTCTGACTGTATGACTGTTGTGACTCTGACTGTTGTCTGACTGTATGACTGTTGTGTCTCTGACTGTTGTGTCTCTGACTGCATGACTGTTGTGTCTGACTGCATGACTGTTGTGTCTCTGACTGTATGACTGTTGTGTCTGACTGCATGACTGTTGTGTCTCTGACTGTATGACTGTTGTGACTCTGACTGTTGTGTCTCTGACTGTATGACTGTTGTGACTCTGACTGTTGTGTCTCTGACTGCATGACTGTTGTGTCTCTGACTGTTGTGACTCTGACTGCATGACTGTTGTGTCTGACTGCATGACTGTTGTGTCTCTGACTGTATGACTGTTGTGACTCTGACTGTTGTGTCTCTGACTGTATGACTGTTGTGACTCTGACTGTATGACTATTGTGACTGACTCTATGACTATGTTGTGACTCAAACTGTCAACTGTATGACTATGTTGTGACTCTGTGGCTCTGTTCCCCAGGTTGGTGAAGGTCCCCAAGTGGTGGAAGACTCCAGTGAATGTCTACTGGATAACCAGGGCCTCCCCATAAATGTTGTCTCCTGATGGACCCCAGTCATTCACTCATCACTTTATCCAAGCCAGTATTGCTTCTGAATTTCAATACATATCATCTTTGGATTTGTTGAGATTCTTACTTCTGGAATAATTCTCACAGTTAGAGTTACGGGTTACTAGTCTCAGTAGTGCCTGATCTGTTTCCAAACTCTCATTGTTGAGGTGTTGTTACAAGTACCGACATATACACAAGCTGTTCAAGCATCTCATGTCTTCCAAGTCATTGTAAACTGTATGGTATGGTTGTTATCAGAGTAACTGTGTGTGATTGACAGTTGAAAGTTACATATAAATGATTGAAATAAAATTATTTGTTATTACTCAATTGTGATTGTCATTGATTTAGATATCAATTCATATGACAGTTACCTCAGCTGGTCCTGGTCTTTGCATACGATTGAGTGGCACAGTGTACACCTGTCATCTGCAGACCCAGTGGTACTGAGTTTTGGTTTGGGGATAACTCAAGCAGATATCATGGATGGCTGTGAATCAAAGGACAAGGTTTGATAAGGCCCTTTTCATCTTCCTGAGGCAAGGGAGTTAACTGATTATGAAAGTCCAGTTACCACCTTGCTGAACTAGGTTGGTATAGTCAACGTGCATGTTGACGGGGAATTAGCTCTTTGGGGAATAAAGGACAAAATCGACATCACTGTCGCGGAACACTTTATGCACAACATGTAAACAATAAACAACAATTGCACAATGAGCAGAATACCTGCTCTGACAACACAAACACAGCGATGAGCGGACCTTCCAGCTCAGGCATACATGAGGTGAGCGGAGCTCCAGCTCAATCTCAGGATGTTTCCTACGAGTGGCACATCCTGCTCGAGGTCGTCCCTAAACCAGCACTCGGAAAACCAAGCTTGACTGACACCGTAGTAACTGTGTAATGGTAGTACATATATAGTAATGAACAGCAATGGAAAGACAATGAGGTTGCTCTGGACATGGGACTTCTGGGGGTGATGAACCGACACAGCTCAGGGTATGAACCACGTAAGGCAATAAATGTCATACTATAAATAACAGTAATTAACGGGAAGTGATATAGTAGCCCAGGTTGGCTGTCAGTCAATATACAATTAAATGGTGAGGATTAACAATGGGGATTAGCGCCTAAAACCTAATGACAAGTTATGGAGACATGGCTACATGGAGTCAAATGTATTTCAGACAATGGTAGTCGTAAATCACTCACTATGACAGTATAATGAGTTTCATTTTGGCTTGACTAACGAATTTTGTGCATAGTCCAAGTCAAAATTGCATAACGAAATGAACATCCGGTTCGTAAAATTCAATGCAGATTTCAGACTTTTGCAGAATTTGCAGAGCATGCGTTCCATCAACTTGGCATTGACAGATATTTTCCAAATCTTTTCATGTTTTTAATCAAGGTGCTCAGCTGGTTTGATGCATTTTGTGAAGTAAGACTGGTTTTATTACAATAAATATCATGATTATCGATCAGATCGTTTTGACTCAATCTCATTAAAATCAGATCTTAGTTCTCGCTACCGCTAAACAAAGATCTGAGGACATCCCAATTGGGGTCACGTCAGACTGACTGACTGACTGAGTATGGTTTTACACCGCTTTTAGCAATATTCCAGCAATATCACGGTGGGGGACACCAGAAATGGGCTTCACACATTGTACCCATGTCGGGAATCGAACCCGGGTCTTCGGCGTGACGAGCGAACGCTTTTACCACTAGGCTACCCGACCGCCCCGGGTCACGTCAGAACAACCTTTCATCCGACCAATGAGAGCGTCGCTTACCAGATCATGAAAGTGACAGTCGGAATGTTTTTTCTAATCATGCAACCTCGAAAACGTTAACACAGTGTATTCCGAACGACAGTTACGGCCCGTACGACTGAATCCGTCAAAATTATCGTCTGTCTCTAGCTTCCGTGGGAGAAACATTTGAATGGAGGAGGCGTTTGGCAGTACGTGGGAAGCACTGCCATGCAACCGCAACCATATATGAGACATTCCGGAATGTTCGTTTGTTCAGTTTTCAAAATTTTAATTGAGTACTGTGTCAACATATTTTTCAAGCGTACTCTGAAATGGAAGTCGCCAGGTGGAAACGTATCGTAAAGCTCGAGAAAGCTGCTTTCTAATTGGCTGATGTCGACTTCTTGTCAGTCGTTTCAGTGGGAGGTCAAGGTTCGAGAAGGTCGTTCTTACGTGACCCGTAATGAGATGTCCTCAGATCTTTGTTTAGCGGCAGCGAGAACTTAGATCTGATTTAAATGAGATTGGTTTTTACTTCACGCCGCCATTTTGTTTGAAGCAAATGCAAGTGATATGAGAGGTGGATTTTGATTGGTCAGTAGGAGGGACATAGAGGGACGTAACTCAAAATAGTCACTGGTGACGCCACGATCGAGCCAAAGAATTCCAGCCTAGTGGAAACGGGATTTTTATAGTCAGTTAACTCCCTTTTTGGCCCATAGGATATGCAAAAATTATAAATGAGGAAAACCTTTTTGAAATCATCATGAATACAAAGTTGGCATATGTGTTCATATGAATAAGAACTAGACTTTGTTCTCTTGAACTCGATGTCTATGTAATGTTAACATGTGTCAAACAGGATGATGTTAGAGGTTTTCAGGAACCTTTTTTTCTAATTGAAACATGAGCAAATCTTTGACCCCAGCTGTGTTTGTCGGCTATGTAGATAGAAACAGTACAATCATTGGGTAAAAAAATCATCTCAGGCCACAGAATTTGTGTTGAAGTTAAAAAACCTTCCAGTTTAGCCAAACATATGTAGGTGGTCATGTCAGAAACTTGAAAACTTCAAACGCCATTTGTCATCCATTTGAACATGTCTGATAATTGTCATACCAATATTTCAAAGTGTTCAACCATCTTTGAACAGAATGTAGGATCCTGCGTCGCCCTTTTGCTTGAAGACAATCATCCTAAACAGGTCAATTAGGAGAGAAGGGGATGTCTATGTGTGGGTTGGTCCTATTCTGTCCGTGAAATACACACTGGGGTTACAGTTTCAGGTGTCCTTTTGGAAAGAGATGTCAATTTGTAGTTGTTATTAGTTTAATAAAAGCCTAACCTATTAAAATCAAAGAGGAATAGGTAGACTCAAGTAACAACCATCCTTCCCTAGAAATGTGTTGTTTCTCCCTGCGTCAAATTAAGATATCTGTGCATCGGTTCAAATGTGGAAATGAAGGAGGAGGCCATAAAATATATTATGTTGCAGCTAAGGGTCTTACGATGATGCGGGCATAAAATGCCGCGATGTCTGTGTTGTTTAACACCACAGTCAGCAATATTCCAATCACAGCAGTAAGCACAGTGGCCTGTAGATAATCAAATCTGTGCAAATCCAGACATTGATCATAAAAGCTACGACCGACACCCAAACCACCAAATTGCAATTTAGCCGCTGAATTTGTGTTCACACGTCTTCGCCCTGCCTGCGGGATAAGTTGGCATAAGGCACTGTAAAGAGGGTGAGGTTTTTCAAACGGTCGCTTCTTCATTAAACAAAGGACATTTGAACCAATAGTTTGCACCTTAAAACCCGATAGAAAAATACACATTGTTTGACATTTTCAAACATACAGACGTTAAGGCCAAATTTGTAAACTTACTTAAATTACGTTATTGAAGGTGAAATGCGTTTCATATTAGGAACCCGTTTAAATCGTTTAATTTGTGCAAACTGATTTTAATAATCATATCTCTATAAGATTTCTTTTAACAGTATTAATCGTATTATTAATCGGCAGTAGTTTAGACACTGGGGCTACGGCGTCACCCTACCCTGGACCAGATCCAGGTCCTGAAAATGCTTCCTTGGAGGTCATAAGTTTGATCAATTATGAGCTGTCGGTCATTTGATCGCCATCCATATATAGCAGTTTGCTACATTCTGCTAAGCGGTTACTACATTTTACCGTACCCTCACTGCGTATGCGACTTCCACAAACAACGCTATGATGCTAAATTATGAACCATTTCAGTAAATTTACTATCCAAACGTTAGACGGAATAAAAGCTTAATTTTCGAGGTCGTCATGTCAGTTGTGGAAATGAGAATATTATGGTTAATCTAACGCGTCATGTTATACAATTTGCAGGATACAATAATCGACTTATAATTATTCATATATAATTATTATAATCCTAATTTCACTTTGTTTACCGCCGTTGCCATGGTCGTTTCCGTTTTTAAACCAATCGATGATTTAACGATTCAGACTGTTTTTGTTTATAATTGTTTAAGACGAAAGTTGCTAATTTTTAGAAATAAAGAATCATGAGTGTTTTCCTTTTACCAAAGAACCAAACATTCTGATCAAATGAAAAACATCATTACATGATAAAGAACATATCGGACTACATGCCACTCATCTACCAGAGGCAAGAGATTTAACTGACTATAAAGGTCCAGTTTCCACCCCTGCCGAACTAGGCTGGTATTTTGGAGTTACATTTTGGCTGGACTAACGAGTCTATGCATAGTCCAATCAAAATCTCGCAACGAAATCGAAATCCGGTTCGTAAACTGCCGTGCAGATTTCGGTCGATTTGCAAAGCATGTGCACCGCCAACTCGTCAACATATATTTTCCAAACCTTTTCATGTTTTTAATCATTGTGCTCGCGTGATTTGATGCACCACGCGGTGTAAGACCCGTTTTATCACAATATAGATCTTGATTATCGATCAGATCGTCTTGACTGGGCGCCGTCATTTTGTTTGAAACAAATGCAAGTGATGGAATCGGACTGGTCCATAGGAGAGGCTCAGAAGGGACACAACTCATGATAACCACTGGTGGCGCTACGATCGAGTCCAGGAATCCCTAGGGCCTTCACAAATCGTCTGATCCACTCAATGTACAGGAGATGTGTGGCAGTGATCAATGCTAATGGTGGTCACACCAGGTATTGACTGACATTTAGGGTATTGGCCCGAAACTGTGTAAGCCCTTAACATTTGAAAAAAACAATTATGTCATCCGCCTTTTAATCCATTAAACTGTCTTCAGTCATATTTTTGTCAATCTTGCCCTATTAGTATTTCTTGTATTTACTGTTGAAAGTAAATAACATGTATACTGCATACTCGACTTGCGTTTCTTTCTGCGTGTGAGTATATTAGTAGAAAATTCACTGGCATTAACACAGCCTTCGTTTAAGAATTAGATCTAATGGACACCGTTTTTATCGGGGAAAATGTATTCACCTCCAAAACAAAGTATGCGTGTTTATGCAGCTTCACACACTGTGGGCATTACCGTCAAAAATACAGTAACTACGTGTAA